TAATTCTCCAAGTGGTCTGCTAGCTTGCAGTTATGGTTTACCAAGTGGTGCAAATCGGCAGCAAGCTTCTGCACCTGGTTGTGCAAGAACATCATGTTGTCCAGCTTCCTCTTCTCTCCTTCCTCTGGCGCCACACCTTTGTAGTGGTGCAGCACGGAGTCCAACTTCGGCTGGCCCCAGAGTAGTGGCGACGACCCGGCCATCTGTGGATGGTGGCACATGACCGCCACTTCTACCCTGCACAAGATAGAGAGCTCCTTCACCTTCTTCACCAGTTCCTTCTTCCTCTTGTTGTACGTAGCTGCTCGAGAAGCATTGCTCTTGATAGAAGGTCCAATGTTAAAACTCACAAGCTCATTTTGAGCCCCCCATCACCTCCACCCTTCTCTTCAAAAGCTGAACACAAATTTACAATTGCGGGACTCCTAAACTCTATCACCTCTATTTTAAACCTAGCCCATGTACGCACCTTCCAACACCACTCTGTACAACCCTCGAAGTTGATGGTATTCTTGCAGCGATCGCTCACAAATTCTAATCTCTCATTCTAAACAAGGAAATGGTAGTTTTCGGCACAACTACAACATTTATGTGGATTTTCAGGGAAGCCGCAGCATGTCGAAGATCTTATATATGATCTCGGCAACTGATTCTTTCCAAAGAGCAAGGACTTGGACAGCAAGCGGCCTGAGGTTGATGAGAACTGCAACAAAGACTTGACTGAAGACTAAACAACAAAGCAGACTTACATAATACTACTGGTCCTTCTGTTTGTCGTAGTTGCTGTGTTGTATTTTGTTCTCAGACTAAGGTGGACAGTTTTAATTCCGACCCTTCTCTTGGTAATGTTGCTGGCTGTTGTAACATCATTAGAAGCTTCGACAGATGGACCACATCGGCATTGCACTGCAACTAATTACAAAGACATTAGGTCCATCTTGGCCTCTAGACCTGAGTTGGTAATGCTTTAAACTATATTCCATAAGCTTCACAAATCTTAAATTTTTTTTTTGTGCTTGAAGGTTTCCCTCCATGTTGTGCCTTGGTTTGGTTTGACCTAAGTTAAGAGACCTTCCTATTGATATGGATATAGAATGTGAAGTATTATTAAGATTGTCTCATCTTCTTGAAATTATTGAAAGAGAATACAAAAAATTTAATCTTATGTGCAATCCACATGTAATGCAGTATTGGAAAGGATAGTACTAAACAAGACTTTTGGTGGAAAAGAAAAATCATTCATAGCTTTTGCACTAAGTGACAAAGCTCTAGAAAAAGCTTTCAAAAACTATTACTTAGTTTGTGTGCACACTTTTAGGCATTGCCTTGCATCTCCAATGTAGATCTCCTTTTCTCCACCAAAAAAATAGGAAACAAGAGGATAAAGACCCAAATCAATGGCCAAACTAACAAAAGCATCTTGTAGAAGTTGTGTATCAACCCTAGTTAACACTAGCTTGTTCATCTTTTTTCTTTGTTTTAGCACATCTTCCCCTCTTCTCCGATTTCTTCTTCTTTGAATTCATTGCAAACTCTCAAAATCATAATGGTATTGGTATAAGAGCTAATAACAATGATGGGGGATGAGAACTGCAATTGAAAATGGAGGGGATTAGAATGAGGACTAAGAATGGAGGAGGTTGGAATGAGGGTTAAGAATAAAGGAGGTTGGTATGAAGATTGATAAAAGTAACAAGGCTTGAGAATTGAGGTTGGGAACAAAGGAAGTCAGAATGAGAGCTAAAAATATGGAACAAGGATTGAAAACAAAGGAAGGAATGTTGGAATAAAGATTAGAAATAAAGGGGGCAAGGACTTGGAAAGAGGAAGATGAATCAATTTAGTAAAATAGTGGATCATTTTAATACTTTCAAATATATATATATATATATATATATATATATGGATTTATTAATGCTACACCTCAACTTTGTTAAAGCTACACTTTCAAACCTTATAGTAATTCATTTAATCCTATCTTATTATACTCCCATGTTACATCATCATTCTTCATGAGGTAGCTTGTCTTTGGTGCCCAATTATTTCATTTGCTTAAGACATTGTCCAAGATTGCCATAGGTAGCTTTGTCATGATTGTGCAAGACTGAGATAGCTTTGTGCAACTCCTCACGATTCTCAATTGTCTGTGGCTATCATGGCTAGCAAACATCAAGAAAAGAGAAAGACTCAAAACTATAAAACTAGAGAAGTGTTTGTTGATTGGGATGGAATACACTTCATACACTTTCTGAATTGGCTTCATGATGGCACCATCATATCAGAGTTGGAGATGCCCATTTATCATGAGCTTCTACAAGAAGCAAAGTATTACAAGCTCCCACATTTAGTAGGTGCTATCGATTCATATTTGACTAAGAAACATGAAGACAACAGCAAGTAGTTGAAACAAGCAAAGTTGAGTGGATTGAAGAGTTTACACCCCTCTTTGAGAGAGTTGACGACAACAACAACTTGGAAGAGGCTAAAATGAGTTGCCATGATGTAATTGAATTAATGCATAGTCGACTATGATTGCAAAGAACAAAACTTTTAGGTCTAAACCTATCTGGTTTCAATTTAAGTGGTGGAAATTTTTGAAATATTTATCTCATCAATACTAATTTTCTTTTATTGATATTAAGAATACAAACTTGGAAAGTTGTGAGGCAACTAGGCTAATTTCAAAAAAGTAAGACTTTTGAATTATAATTTTTCAGATACGACAATCTTGGATTGTTTTGCAACAATGACCTCATTTCTATAAAAATAAAACATTGGTAGCAATTTAGATTTCAATTGATCTCATACTTGGTTAAACCTAGAATATTGCACGAAGTGCATTTTTAAATTCAGCTACCTAAAGTTACTGTATTTGTTGCTTCTTTGTTAATGTATGACATTTTTGTAGGTAATCAAAATTTTCCACAAAACAGTTGTTACAATACAATTCATTTTACTATCTAAAATTTTTAGTAGAATGAGGAGATTCATATTACTTACAAGACTCTTTTTTCCAAGTGAAGAGATGATTGAGGCAGTTCTAGATAGTAAACATTCAAAGAATGCCAAATTTGATAAAATACACCTTGAAAATGCAAGCTTTCGCAAGACGAATCTATGTTGCATGACATTTGATGGCACTAACCTTTCTAAGCCAAATATGTTGAGAATATGGTTAGTGAGAGCATTGTTTAGAAATGCCAATCTTACCAAAGCAAACTTGTCGCATGTAAACTTATATGACAAATATGGCTATTGGAATGGTGGTGTAGCTATTTTGACACAAGCAAGGTTCATTCAAGCAAACTTCTTTTGAGAAAATCTGAAAATTTTCAATTTTAAGGACTTTGTACACTACCATAGTGCTATCAATTTGAATATAGCAATAGGCTATACACTAACTGGATACATGGGCTAAGAGAAAATATCAATAAATTTAGAAATATTTTATCCAAATTAGGGCAAAGAGTTGTTTAGATAACTCGTCATTGTAGTAGTCACTGAATCAAAAGAGGTACAATTTTGAATGTAAACTGGACATCTAAAACCAATTCTAAAAGTTGCTTTTACTCATTGACATTTCACACCTCAATGTCAATTAAGTATTTCTTCAAGTGGCATGTGTTTTGCAAGTAGATATTCTATTACAATTTATTGTATAGCACAAAAAAATGAATGCTATGTAATATAGTTCAAATTAATACTACCACAATGGATTTGTACTAGAAGCTCATATATCAAGTTCAAACACTATATTGTTTTTGCACCTATGCCTTTCATTTTTGAATAGGAGTAGCGATCTGGACTTGTTCAACTTTTAGGATGTATCAAACTCCATACAACCAGATTTAGAGCAGCAAAATATTTAGCAAACAATATGAGACTAGTCTCAAGCACAGCTACTCGCCATAGTCTTAGGCAGCGTCTCGGGCAGATCAAACGATTGGGCACTAAGGACGGGCTACCTCATGGAGGATGATGATGGAATGTGGGAGTACAATGAGATAGGTCTAAATGAATCACAAGGTTTGAGGGTGGCTTTAACAAAGTTGAGGTGTAGTTTTTACAACTCCCTGTATGTATGTATGTATATATATATATATATATATATAAGATTGAAGTTTTTATTTTCTTATTTTTTTATACTTACATATTAAATTTTAATAAAAGAGCATAATATATTTATTAGTTTAACACAGATTTTGTTTTATTTTTAAAACTCATATTCCAAAGAATGATTAATAATATTTGTAAACATGGATAGACATGAGGGGGGAGGTGTCCACATATCTAAGTGGAGTGTCCACATAATAAAAGGGGAGGTGTCCACCTAAGAATTCCTTAAAAAACACTTCAAAGTCAATAAATATAAGCAATAGTGTTTTTTGTGTGAACAATTGTTTTAAATGATTGAACATATGATTCCAAAGGACAACAATCTCTATGTATATTTTAAAATAAAATCCCACAAAACCATTCATATTCAGAGACATGTTTACAGAAACAAAACCAAGTCAATATTTTTGAATATCTCCACCCTACATTAATTTGTTCTGATAAACAATTTCTGAATCATTCAAAACTTAATTACCACCTTCAACACCAAAAACATAACTTCAAAACAAACACAGCAAAAACGTTCAAGAATGCCAAGCACAAGTGCAACCAATGTTCTACACCTCAGGGTTTAGGGTTTAGTGTCCATAATGGCCCTCATTCAGACATGCAGACAAAGTTTGCCTATCTATGTGTTAAAGCAGACGAAGGTTGGATGCCCCTGAGACTCTACACCATAGCTCAATAACCCATAGACCCATTGAAGCTGCAGTCTAAAAGTGCTAGTTTTGCTATACAAAAATTACCAAAAAAACACAAAAATAAATAAACACACAGCGTACATTCTGAGTCACACAATCTTGCTGCAAGGTTGGGACGAATTAGGATTTTGTGGGGGGAAGCGGAGATGGACGGGATATGGCGAAGGACGTCAGCGATGGGGTGGGGGAGAGGCGTGCACAACGAGACTGCATCGATTGACTCCCGCTCAAGTCAATAATTGAGGTCATCGATTGAATCCCGTTGATCCGGAGCAACGTTTGAGAGCAAATTTGAGAGCTGCGTTTGCTTGTGGAAGGATTGTTGCGGAGTGTTGGTTTTTTTCCGAAGCCACCAGATCACGGCATCGGTCGCTGCACACGCGTTGGGTTTTGAGTCATGTCTGCACAACAGCGTGATCGGTAATAATCAGGGTCTCCGTTCCGGAGAGTAGGGTCTAAATTGGGTCGTCTTGGTGGGCCAACCTTTTTTTTTTTTTTTTTTTTTGTTGATTCTCGATCCACGTAGCGGAGATTAACTTCGTTCGCAATGACTGAAGGAAGGCTCTGACGGCAGGTTTGGACTGGGTGAGTTAGCCTCTTGCAAACTCCTGCTCTACTCTCCCTCCTCTTGCGCACATGCCTCCTCTGTGCGCTTTGCCCTTGCGCTTCTCCGCGTCTCCTTGACACGATTGGTCGCTGCGTCTACTTCTTCTTCTGTTTTTTTTCTCTTCTTGTGAACCCTACGACGTGGCTCACTCATTGTCGGAATCTGAGGAATCTCGCAGACGCTGAAGTTTATTGCCTCCTGTTCTGTGGGCCAGTTTGGTTGCTGGGGAAGTCCATAGTCGTGGATCTCGCGTCTGATGGATTGCTCGAATGGACATGACCCGGGAGCGCATGTGAGAGGTAAGTGGAGAAGTTCTGTACGTGGCGAAGTGTTTTGTGGGTAGTTGTTATCTCTGGTTTCGTGGTGGTGTGAGAAGGGGAGCTGAAGTGGATGGGCTTTGATTTTTTGTGTGCTGTTCGGAGATGAGAGGATGCAGAAGGAGAGATGTGGGGGAGTGTGGAAGGCAGGAGCGGCGAGGTGTTGTGCGGAGAGAAGTTCATGTTTGTTTGTTGATTTTGTCGGGAGAATTGAGGATTTTTCATAATTAGTTGGATGGATTGACAGGTGAATTGCAAGTCCCTTTAGATCATGGGAAGGAAGAGAGCCCTTGCGATTGTAGAGCGCTTGATTTGGTGACTGTTCGATGGTAATAGTGGAGGTTGGCGGAGGGTGGAATCGTGGCGGGATATCAAATTTGGTGTGTTGGATGCAGGAGATGGGGCTGTCGGTATTAGGCCACGAGATCGCGGATTTGTGAGCACCATTTGTTGTTATTATTCAAATTTATAAAAAGGATTGGGCGTAGTTTTTGAAAGATGAAGAATCGAGAGAGTGGGGAAGCTGAAAATGGATTTTTCCAAGGGAGGAGAACCGCAGAGTCAACGGTGGGCGAGGCCTCTGAGACCGTCGCGGACAACAACCCTCTGGCAGCTAATAGACCGCGACTTACCACTGACGATGCGCTGGCCTACTTGAAAGCTGTGAAGGACAAATTCAAAAATGACAAGACTAAGTACGAGGAGTTTTTGGAGGTTATCAAAGACTTCAAAGCGCAGAAATTGGACACTGCGGGCGTGATCAGTCGTGTAAAGCAGTTGTTCAAAGGATATCCGAAATTGATTATGGGCTTCAATGCATTTCTTCCCAGAGGGTACGAGATCACGCAACCGGAGGAGGAGAAGCCTGCGGTAGAGTTCGATCAGGCGATCAACTACGTCAACAAGATTAAGGCTCGGTTTGCCACAGAAGAGATTGTGTACAAACAGTTTTTGGAGATTCTGAACTATTACCGGAAAGGTAATAAGACTATCAATGAGGTCTATCAAGAGGTGGCTAATCTGTTTGCTGACCATTCCGACCTGCTGGAAGAGTTCACATGCTTTCTGCCTGGAACGAGCGGTACGTGTATGGGAAACGATCGCCGCAGTTTTAAACGCGCGCAGCCAAATGTACGCCAAGCGGACGAGAAAGGAATTGGAGAAAGTGGGATGTCATCAATCGACAGGCTCAGAATTCGTGATGAAACGTCCTCTTATGTACAAGGCGAACTAAGTCGAGAACGCCCATCTGAACATCGTGCAGCCAAACCTTGGAAGGCCGGGGAGAAATCAGACTGGAAGGGAACAGGGTGCGTCGCAATAGCAAAAGCACATTACAATATGTTAACACCCTAATACGACGAATGAGACTACTTGCCATCCAGCGCCACAAAAAAAACCGCCTTGCATTTGTTTCATGAATTTGTGCCTGCATCCATAACTACATTCATAACCGTGCCATCATTCCTAACCTTGTTTCATGAATTTGTGAGGGCAGGCACAGGAAGGACAGAGTCGATAGGGAGGAAGGAGGTCGGGACAAGCAGAACGAATTCGCGGAGCAGAAGCCCGCGAAGAGGACGTCTGCCCGTAACGCGAGCGATGCCATCAGGAGGCAGTCGCAGGCTCGCGAGGGAGGTGAGGGATTCTCCGGGCCTGTCCCCCAAGCGTCGACGGATGACAAGAAAGCTGTGAAGAGTGCGGTCGGCGTGCATCACCCGTTTTTCGACAAGGTGAAGGCCCGGCTGTGCAGCCGAGACACGTACCAGGAGTTTCTGAAATGTCTGAACATCTTCAGCCAGGAGATCATCGGCCGCGAGGAGCTGCAGAGTCTGGTGGGCGACATCCTGGGGAAGCATGCGGACCTGATGGAGGGATTCACCGAGTTCCTGACGCACTGTGAAAATGTGGAAGGATGTATTGCAGGGGTGTTCACCGGGCTCAAGCTGGGGGATTTCGCGGAGACGGCACCGCTGAAGGTTGTGAAGATAGAGAGGGACGGTGAACGGGAGAGGAACCGGGAGAGAGAGCGAGATGCGAAGGAGAAGGAGCATGATGTGAAGCCATCGCTGGCTGCGAGGGAGGGGGCCCACAAAGTGGTTCCAAACAAGGACAAGCACATCAACAAGCCGATATCGGAGCTGGATTTATCGAACTGCGATCGGTGCACTCCTAGCTACCGGCTGCTGCCAAAGCATTACACTCGGCCGGTGTCCAACCATCGGACGGCGCTTGAAAACTCGGTGCTGAACGACAGCTGGGTGTCGGTGACCTCGGGGAGCGAGGACTACTCATTCAAGCACATGCGGAAGAACCCGTATGAGGAGAGCCTGTTCCGGTGTGAGGACGACCGGTTCGAACTGGACATGCTGCTGGAGGGGACGGCGATGACGGCGAAGCTGGTGGGAGAATACACTACGAAGCAAGAGGAGCAGAGCGGGGAGGCCAATGAATTGCCTCCGGTGCACGAGTTTTTTTCGGCGATGAGTTTGAGGTGTATCGAGCGGATATATGGGGATCACGGGCTGGACATGCTGGAGGCGGTTCGGAAGAACACGAGCCGAGCGATGCCTTTGATACACTCGCGCCTAGTGCAGAAGGAGGAGGAGTGGACTCGATGCCGGGAGGAGATGAACAAGGTGTGGTCGGAGGTGTACACGAAGAACTGCTACAAGGCGTTGGACCACCGCAGCTTTTACTTCAGGTCGCAGGACAAGAAGGCGCTGAGCACGAAGGTTCTGCTGGGAGAGATCAAGGAGGTGAATGAGAAGGGGAGAAGGGAGGGTGACGCGATGCTGGCGATAGCAGCGGGTAATCGGAGGCCACTGCTGCCGGATCTGCGATACGAGTTCAGCGACCTCTCGATCCACGGCGACATGTACCAGATCATAAAATATTCGTCGGAGGAGATCAGCAACTCACCGGACCACACGGAGAAGACGATGCAGATGTGGAGGATGTTCTTGGATCCAATGCTAGGCCTATGGTCGCGTTCGGAAGGGGTAGAGGACATGGAGAAGGGAGTGAAGGGGAGGTCGTCGGAGGGCAACGGCGGGGATGAGACAAGCATCCTAGAGCGTAGGACCACTCCACATGAAGGAGGAGGCATCGTGTGCGGAGATGTAGAGGTGGTGGGCGTGGAGGGATGTGGGGCTCGGGTGACGGCAGGTACGACGAATGGAGAGGCTCGGCAAGCAGATGGTAATGGGGAGAGGAACTCCGAGGACAGTGCAGGAGGAGGAGCCGGTGAGCGAGGTGGGGATGGGGCGGGAGAAGGTGCGGTGAGGGCTACGGTAGAGGATGATGGGGAGGGCACGGCTGCACGAATGGGAGGATGTGGGTGGTTACACACAGGAATTGTTCAGGAGAAGCAGAGCAGCGGGGCAGCAGAACGAGACGATGTGAAAAAGCGGGAAAATGCGGGACATGATGAGAACAGGGGAAGGAGATCGGTGGCGAATGGTGGCGGTTTCGTGGATGATGGCAAAGACAGAGGTGGTCGTGGCACCCCAGATGAAGAGGAAGGAGAAGTGTCTCCTGTGTCGGAGCGGGAAAAGCGAGAGCAGTCGAAGTGCAGTCCGCGTCGGGGGAGGGGAGAGAACGGCGTGGTGAAGCTATTCGATTATGAGGAGGTTGCAGAAGGAGCGGGTGGAGCTGAGATGGAGCATGAGCAAGGTACTTGTGGTTTGTGAGGGGTTAGTGTTGGCATCAGTGACGTATAACTGGACACGAGAGTCAAGCGTTCGCAGTGGTTCGATTTGTTTAGGAGTGGTCGTTGTGTGGTTTTGACAGCAAGCTAAGTAGTGGAATACTGGTTGACGCTGTTGTTTTGGTGTTTAGATGCATACGACGAAGGTGAAGAAAGTGCTCAGAAGTCGAGCGAGGACAGCGACACTCCGTCGGAAGGTGGGGAAGAGGTTTTGCCAAGTGAGGAGTCTGGGGACGATCAAGCGGATCATGATGATGATGAGGAGGATGCTGAAGGGAAGGTAGAGAGCGAAGGGGAGGCGGAGGGCATGACAGATGTGGAAGGTGGAGACGGGAATGGGAACTCGCCACTGGCTAATTCAGAACAGTCGTATGCTCATTGCAAGCCACTTGCAGCTCATCCCGGACCAGGTGCAGGGTTGACGGTAGTATCGCATTCGAAGAAAGGCGGAGGAATATTTTACGGGAATGACACACTTTACGTCCTGTTGAGGTTAGGTGTGGAATCCTATATGCTTTTTTATTGGCGATGGTGGTAATCGAGTATTTTGTTGATAAGCAGCAGTCATGATTGGAGGGGTTGGTTTTGCAAATGGAGTAGTATTTGTCCAGATCATCTCTATGGGCAGAGTGCTGAATGGTGGGAAAGTTGTTCTATGGACATCTCGTTGTCGTCCATGGCGACGAAGCGTGAAATCGTGCAGATGTGGTGACGGTGTTTGTTGCAAGGATGGAAGTGCAACATGTCTAAGTATATGTGATAAAGAGGTTATGTGGTGAGGTGTGTGACGAGGCTATTCTGTGTGTTCAGGCTCTACCAAGTTCTGTATGAGAGGCTTCTGTCAGCGAAGATGAACGCAGAGTTCGCATCGAAGAGGAAAGGCAGCGATGACGGCGCTCCCCCGAACTTGTATTCCCGGTTCATACAGGTGTTGTACGGGTTACTGGACGGTTTCGTGGACAACTCGAAGTTTGAGGACGAGTGCAGGGCAATCATAGGAATACAGTCGTACATATTATTCACGCTGGATGAGCTGATTTTCAAGCTGGTGAAGCAGCTTCAAGCAGCAGCGACAGACGACGTGGTACAGAAGCTTTTGGCACTGCACGCATACGAGTACGGGCGGGAGCCTGTGGATCTGGTATACTATGCGGATGCTTGCATGCTGCTACACGACCAGAGCATATACCGTTTCGAGCAGACGTGGATTCCAAATGAGTTGCTGATACGGCTGATGGAGAATTCAGACGTTCCCGGGAATAGTTTCGAGAGACCATTTCAGAAGTACTTGGATGGGCTTTTGACGTCAGTGCAATCAGGCAAGGGTAGGCAGGTATTTGTGGCACGAAACCTGAAGCGGAAGCTGGTGGTAGAGCGTTTGGATTACGGGGAAGATGTGAAAATATTGAACGGGCTGGAGATAAAGATGACATGTCGGACGTCAAAAGTGTCGTACGTGCTGGACACGGAAGACGTATTTTGGAGGTCAATGCCAAGAGGCAAGAGACGGAAGGTGAAGGCGAGGCCGAAGAGAGTGGGTCTGTTTCATAAGTGGATGCAAGAATTGGAAACTCTAAAGGGTGCGTAGGTAATTACAATTCGATGGGTATTCCAAGCCGGATGAGAGTGATCTAGCATCAGATTCAACATCAAAATCTTTTTCTGCATTCCGCCAAGACTAGAATGAATGGGTTGCGCTTTTAGTCATCAGGTACTTTCCTCAATCTCTTAAGTTTCCTAATGTGTGATACTTTGTGGCAGTCAGTATGAAGGTGTACTTGTAAGTACTTGTAAGTACTTGACAGGCACAGTGGTGATGAAGGAATTACTTAGAATGAAGTGGGGAGAGCATTTATAATAAGCCGCACTTAACGAGGTTTGTATCTGATCATTATGTGCGATTTGATGTGTGTTTTGAGCAGATTGCTGTGGACACGAAAATTGGGGTCCTGATTCCGGCGCGTCCTATTTTAATTTTGTGGCTTTGGGGAACTTCTTCTGACGAGTGTACAAGCCCTTGCTTGCATCCAAACGTGGTGTGACAAATACCTGGAAATGACGATCCCTCAAATCGAGCCCATTCTGAGGTCAGATTCTCTGCGGTGCTTGACAAATCTCGTGTTTATCTTGGGGTGCAGATGTGGTTAGATGCCATATGATAGTCATCTAGCAAAAACGAAGTCCACCTGCACTGTTGATCCCCCATCAAATGATGTTGTCAACGGTATATGGAGGATGACTGCATGGGGTCCATATGGCATTTGAAGCATAAATGTTTTATCTTTGAGGATTCAAAAATGGTTTTGTGCATATTGGTTGTTTGTGACTATAAATTTGTTGAATATAAAAATGTTCTATAAATGATCTGGTAATTGAAACTTGTGATATTTAATTTTTTGACACACACACACATATCTATATATATATATATATATATATAATATATTAAAACCTTAAAACTGAATATCTTTGCAAAATATTGACAAGCTATTTTGCAGAATTGCAATTTGTACATATTTATTCACAACACTGATAAAAGTTTGAAAGATTCTCAAAATATTTACTAAAATAAATATTTTGATGTATAATTTTTGCAATTCAAATTCTCTAATTTTATGATGTAAGAAAGTGATAAATTATTCACTTGTATTGACCAACTTAAACAATCAATAAGACCAACAATCAAAATGTTTGAACAATCTTATTTTAGGAGTAGAATGGTTATTATAATTTTTTAGAATTTATTATCAAAGATTTTGTGACAATCATGGATATAAGGCCTATCAAAGAATGAATTAATGATTTATAACTTTAGGATTATTTTACAATCGATTAATACTAAAAATATTAAAAAATATAAAAAATCAATAATATAGATATGGCTCTTCAAACATGTCTAAATAAAGCTCTAATTAGTAAGATGAAAATTCAAAGAAGTTAAAAAATTGTTAATATTAAAAAAATTGATGTGATTATAAACAATAAGAAAATCTAAGCTACAAATACGATTTGATTCTAAGATTGTAAAATACATATTTTTTAGTAATAAGTCAATGAAATATATAATAAAAAAATTTAAAGAATAAAAAATAAAAAAAATGCCATATGCCATTGCACAAAAATCTGTTATTGTGAATTTATTCTAAATTGTTTTGGTATAAATGAGAGTTTCAATGTATGTATGCTGAGTTGTGTAGTATGGAGGAATGTCTACTCAATAAAATGAGAGTGACAATCTATCAGTTTTTTTAAAATATTTAAAATTGTAGCTAATAAATCAGAGTATAAAAAAAATAATACTTTTAAAGCCATAAAATATTTTTAAAACTTTGGAATAAAGCTAAAATAATTCTAAATGGTTAAATTTATCTTGTAAAAAATGACCAAAAATTAAATGGTCCAATAATAATAATAATAATTTTATTTTTATTAGTATCCAAAAAAAATTATAATTTTAAAAATAATTTTTATATAATTAGTAATTTTAAAATATAGATAAATATTTATTTACAATCAATATATTTATATTACTATATTAAAATATTTTATAATTGATTATATTATACTTTTATCCACCTCAAAATAATCTAACATAAGATTAATTAATATTAAATTTTTAAAAATAAATTCTTCTTCATTGGTAAAATTATATAATAAAAATATAAAAATATAAATTTTAAAATATAAATATAAAAGACTATTTAAAAATATTCATAGTTTACTAAATTTAATCATATTTTAGTAATACTAAATATAGTTAGAATTATATTGAGATTTAAATTTCTTAAAAGATAATGATCAATTTAAAAATATATATAATAATATTATATATACACATATATAATTTCTTTTGAATGTAATTCAAAAATAAATTAAATAGACATTAAAAATAACACCTTTAAGTTTGATTAAGAACTAGGTTGACATGAATGTTTTTTTAAAATGTTAGAAGTTTTTATTGCTAATAGATAAAATAATATAATCTAATACAAAACAACTTATAAAAAAGATTGGGTAAATTTGCTAAATCAACTCATTTGCTACAATAATGATTTAGTTTAAGAATTTGTCTGCCAAAGGTGGGGGGTGTATACTGATGGGTGGGTGGATTTAACAATTCCCTTAATAAGTAGATAGGCTGTTGCTATTCTCTCACCGAAACTGGATAGAAACTTATAAATAAAAACTCTTTGCTTGCTGTCATAAATTGTTAGGCACAATGACGCTACCGACGAGAGTTATACAGCAGAAAACTTGTGATTCAGCTCTAGCTTGTTAGTGAAGAACATAAAAGTTTACTCTGTGGCTGCAATCATCAACAGCGTTGCAAATGTCGTGTGAATTGTGGAGAGATTTTATATGTAGAAAACATGGTAAACCAGGTTTGTGGAGAATGTGATTGCAACTTGCTTGGAGCTGCGATTTGTGATTGCTTCGAATGTCTTGCGATCCCATCTACGTGGGATTTGTAGCGGATGCGACCCCCGTTGTTGCTCCATCGTCCCACGCCGACACTGGCCAAAACCCAGTTCAGAAAAAAAAAAAAAAAAAAAAAAAAAAAAAGCAGATTGCTGCAGATGGTCATTTTTGCGTGGCTGTTGACAAGCAATATTACTGAGCGATGGACAACAATGCTAGTATGGGTGAGAGAATAGCAAAACTTAGATATTTTAAACCATGTATCATAGCTAAAAACAGAAAAGGATCATTAATTCTACTTGGAAAATGAAAAATACAATAATTGTTTTAAAAGTTAGAAACAATGTGTTCCTTCCATTAAGTCTTTGTAATGTTTTTTGGAAGAAGATTAGAGTAGAGCATGTTCCTAATGAACTACAGACTTTTTTTTTATTTCTTTTTACTTAAAAATAACATATATTAAAAACTCTTAATTTTATGATATGACAGACATTTCCTGCACAAACAAGCATATAGAGACTGTAAATCATTTCTTTTAATATGTGAATTGTGTCACTTGTTAACTGTAATAGGACATATTTAATTTTAATCATTGAAAATTTTCATTCTATATAAAAATCAAAATAATGAAATGTATTTTCACAGCTTTTAATATCATTATACTACATAAATCAAATAATCAAATAAATTAATCATGCAGCTGTCAATTTTCAAAATTATATTCAACCTGGTTCTCGTCTTTTAATATAACAAAACACTTTTTTTCTACATCCTCTTTTTTTGCCACCCTCTATTACTTGATATGTTCTATGAAAATAACCCAAAATCAATATCAAGTTTGCACCACATCACCTTTACGAATCCCACATTTGATAGTGAATTATCTTGATTTTATTTTCTCTTTGTTTGTTTAAAATCTTTAGGGAACCTCATAGTCAAAGAAAGGATAGGAGAAAAATGTTTTGAGAGGAGAGAAGTCAAAAAGAAGGTCGACATGGAATTCATTAAAAGATACAACTTTCTGGTAGTGTAGGGAAAAGATGATCTGGTAGTTTTAGAAAAATATTAATCAAGAATATGAAGAATAAGTCTAAAAGTCATGCATTCTATCTAAAACTGCTCTCCAAAATTTTCTGCATCCAATTTGAACTAAAATAAAAAAAATAAAAAATACGTTTTTAGTGAAGACTTTGTGCTCTTTTCGGAATAATGCTGTGTAGATTCTTCTGCGATTTCACCTGTTTTAGGAAGAAATGGTCTTGTCTCTTCTCACGAAACCTAAACAGGTGGCTGCAGCTGTGCGGATCTACGCTTTCGCAATTGCAATTGCAGTTTGATCACCAGCTGATTTAAACTATGGCTTTCTCTCATCTCTCATCTCTCTCTCTCTCTCTCTCTCATCTGGCTTGCGTGAACCTGGGCCTTTTTTCATACATCCCCGAACAAATGATACTTTTGCACATTCATGTAGATGCTGCGGAAGGAAGCTATGCACCCAATCACCCCAACGACCGTGAACACTATAATAATCGTCCAATTCAACCAAAAGATTGGTTTCTGTCTCGATGGCTGGAACACAATCTGGTAGAACAGCATGGGCAGGACGAAGTCAAGCGGCGTATACCCAAACGCTCCAATCAGGGAGATGATGTCTCCGAAGAATGGAAGCATCGCCGCCAAGAGCGTTACCACTGCCAAGTAAAGAGACCGGAAGACAAGACGAGGCATTACATTTCGGATACTGTACTTCCCTTGTTTTGCATCTCCAGTTTTGCTTTCCAGCACTTCAGAGATGGGTTGTAAATACACCTACATCCAGTAATCGATTACCAGTTAAACCACCAGATTTTGACTGCATTGCACAAAAGTGTAGGGTGCAAGGGTAGAGAATGATTCATCAAACGAGAACATCCATGACGCGCGGATAACGGCTTACCAAACCAATGGCGAGAAGCTGTGCAACAATGGCGATACTTAAGATGCCCAACAGCCATGTCGGCAAGAGATCGGGACCTTTGTCAGGGGCGAGATTGTCGACGATGTTGCCTGATGCTTGGTTACCAAATGCCCAGTAGCCAGAGATTGCAACAGGGTAGAAGGTGATCAACACAACTGTGTAGCATAAGGCGATACCTTTCTGCATCTTCCCTGTTACAGGAGGCGCCACTGTTGCCTGCAGAGGTCCAAGTTCACAAGCTGTTAGAATAGGCAAATTTGGTGAATATTATACACCCGGAGAAATGCAGCGTCATGAAGTTTACCTGTATTTCAGGGATAAGAGCCACACCATATACTCCAGCCATGATGGATATAGCTGTGAAGACTCCGAACACTTTCTGAACAGGACTACCTGTTACGCTGTAGTTTTTCGGGGGTACATTTGGATTATGACCTGAAAAGGAGTACTTGACATTATCAATTTAACTGGTAATCTCTATCCAGAAATGCATGAACTCATTTCAGCTCTTTCCTTTTTTCTTTTTTTTGTTTTAATTGACACAGAAGGGGTATACCCAATGCATTGATTAGTGTTTTGTACCCACTTCAGCTCTTTTGAAAGTATTAGAGTGATACCTGCAATGATAGATCCGATCACGGCGCATGCGCTGTATGCTAAGCAGCAGAAGAGGGAGAAGAGACTCAAGTGTCTCAGTGAATGGAAAGACGGCAGCTGTGCAAGAATCATCATCACTGCACCAAATAAGGCTACAAATACCCACAAGCGAATTGCGCCATCCGGAACTAGTCCCAGATAGATGAGCTGCAAAGGCACGCACACCAAGCATCTTAGTATATTTAGAGTTGAGAAAAAGGTATCCTAGTTAACGGCTTTGAAACAAAGAACAGCTTTACAACATGTGACTCTACTCTTGAATCATCTTTGCTAACGGTTGAGATCTTAAACCGCCTATGCATGCATACAAGTTCGATCCTCTCACCTTGCAACCATAGCCACCAGTTAAGATAACTCCGATTAGCGTCACAAAACATACTCCAAACTGCACGGGTATGACAAACCAAATCGTCCATCGTTTCCCTGCAAAGGATTTGGAAACTTGTCATTCAGAACCTTCACATCTAGCCATGAACTACGTTCCTTTAACCCAAAATAAGACCGGGATTGTGCTGTTAGGTAGTGCCATTGAAACTTGGTTCGAAACTGAGTTTATGTAGATTAAATTGCATGCCAATACATGCTTAGAAGCAATTTAGAATTCACCAATTTTACTCTGCTTTGGCAATGAAAAACGCCGTTTTAGGTCGAGCTAGGTAAACAGTTACGAACCTATCACAACGTCGGATAGATCTCGAAACCGAAGGCACCGTTTCCCTTGAGAGGCATAATGTTCCAACACCCTGGATAACAAGCAGTACGCATAACTTGATACAGCCCCAGCAATGGTGAGCGCGAATAATCCAGGGCCCCACCCCAAGAAATGGAAAGCATACGGCAACGTGAGCAACGATGGCCCGGCTATAGCTGTGGTCAAATGATACCCTGCATGAAACCATGTTCCTGCAATAGAAACACCAAAAATATGAATCTATCATTATCAACAACCACGCACGCCGTGATTCCTACGCTATACCGCTACTGACGGCCGGTGAACTACAGGAAATGAGGACTAGCGACAGTCGACAAGACAAAGTTTTGATTTGCAAGGGCTTAACATCAATCAGGGCTCAAACAGCACCACAGAGACGCAAGACATGAATGATGCTACGGCAACACAGACAAACATTCCCCGTATAAGCTCACTGAAATTCTACCATAAACCTAACATTCGGCATCGAATAGCAGACCCTGAAGCACTTGCCAAGAGATGTAACGCAGCACCAGCGAAGAGAAAAACAAAACAAAACAAAACACGAAAGGCCAAGAGTTTGAATGCACACAGACCCTTGGACTCGAGCACGAACAGCGCCCCTGCATCCTTCGCCTCGAAACCCTCCTCCTCCTCCACAGCAGACCGATCTCTGACCAAACTGCTGTAACCCGTCCCAATCACCTCGAAAGCACGCATCGCTCCAGGCTAAATTCGAATCCACGACCCCAGGTGCTACTTCACCGACGATCTCACATTGCGCGCTAACACATGACGCTTGAGAGAGCACGAGAAGAAAGAGAACAAACACAGTCTTCGACCTGTTTGAGGTAGCTCCACAACCTAGCAGCAATCGCACCACGCCTAGTGCCAGACTCCACAACCAACACTACGCTCTCCTACTCGCCAGGATTCATTCCCCATTTCTGCTGCCCTGTCATGTCAACACCTCCAGGTTTGTCACATCTACTACGGTACTACTGCTACGTCGGCGAGTGGGATAATGTTGCAAAGCACGATTCTCTAGTAAGCTGGATCGTGCCTGCTGTAGCACATGAGCCAATCTCTATTCCCGTCACGATATTGTACAGATGTACTCCGGTTAAACTTGTTGCGTTTCTATCGTGGTCGACACAGATTCCGGCTTGCTTCTCCTTTTTCTTCGTTTTCCTGGACTGGGGCCCGAGTAAGTGGGTGGCCGCGTCCCTCCCGAGGGGCTTCACGTCGCTCCTCCACCGACACCTCGTCTTGGTTTGCAATTCCCTCCTTCGGTGGTGTACTTTCTCTTCTTTCTTCTTTTCTCTTTACTTGGAATAAATGGAATGTTTGTAAAACTATTAAAAACTATAAAAAAAAATAAAAGTATATATATATATATATCATAGTAAAATATATATAATAATTTTTACCATGAAATATAAATATGAATCATCGAGCAACTTGAATAATAATAGAGCCAAGCATATATATATATATATATATATATATATATGTATACTATTTTTTTTAAAAAAATTTAAGCCATCTATGAGAAAATACAAAATTTTAAAATATTCTTCTGAATTATACAATTTGAGTGTTTTAAAATTATGTAATTTTAAAACACTATAACATTCTTCTAAATTTAACTAATTTTTACAATTAGAGTTGTTTAAAGTAAAAATAAAATTGAATTCTATAAATAAAAAAAAAGTATTTTATTTATTCATTTATAATTTATACTCTATCAAGATTTTATTTTTTATTTTTGAACTTTGAATTTTGAATTTTCTCTATCATGCCAAACTAAGCCATTCAAACTAAGAATTTGTAGAATTAAGCCCTCTATATTTGTAAATAAATAAATAAATAAATCATATTATTCTTTAATATGGAATTACATAATTATTGTAATGAATAATTACCAATAGCAAAAGATAATTACATAATATACTATATTTATTATAGTTTGTAAGTCTAAGTTCTTAATTAATATTCTTATCTAATAAAATATATTTACAATATGGAAAGTTGGCCAAATAGTCAACAAAGGAAAGAAGAAGCAATAAGTGCACAACTTTCATTCACATTACATTTATATGAGATGAACATCAATCTACTATAATATTTTTATTAAAATTTATTATCCAATATGATTTTAAAACATTCTAGTTGTAAATTGATTAATATTTTCTAAATTTAACTAAATTTTAATAAAAGTATTTCAGTGTTTTAAAATTATATTGGTATAAGTAACTTGAATAGATAAAATTTAAAATAAAAAAAATAAAATAAAAATAAAATATTTAATTATAAAATTTATATTATTCTTTAATATGGAATTTAATAATATTATATTTAGAAGAAAATGTTTGTTTTTTTTAAGTATTTGTTTTTATAAAAATAAAATTGAAATTTTTCTTAAAAGGTGCCTTCATATATTTCAAGTGGTATGAATACAAAAAAAAACATCTCTTTCGCATGATTGGGATACGAAGGAACTTGAGAGGATAACTTGGGAGTGAAAGAATCAGTGGTATGGATTGAGTGATATTGTTTTCCCTCGTTCGGCACCAAAACGGCGAGTTCGTAATCTGCGACCTTCGCATTTCGATTTCTTGTGGAGGAGAATGTGGAGCGAGTTGATGTCTCTGTGATTGATTGGCGGATCTGCGTTGTCGGTGAAAGTAGGCCATTCAATGCTTTTGAGTACGGCAAAATCTCATCAATATAATGAATCTTAAAATTCTCTATTTGTCTGTTTACATAATTATTTGTTTTCAGAATGGAGATTGCATGCTGGGTTTCACAACTAGAAACATACTAGATCCCCCACACGTCAATTATTACTTGATGAGAAGTTGTGTGTACCTTCCTCCATTATCAATCAATGAAGTTGAAAGTCATATCTCTGTGGATTAAACCATCTACGTATTATTCTCAAACTTAGAAGTTACATCTCGAACATCTCTCCAAAATGTGATATTCTCCTTCTTCAAGAACAGAAACTTTGTGACTCTAAGACTCAAAAATTGGATCACAAACTTTGGTCTAATGCTGGTTTCATTGTTTTTGAAGCTGCATGTAGTTGTGTCGACAATGGCGTAGGAGTAGGATGAATATGTACCTTCATTTTTTCTTCAATCAAATGCTTAACTCACAATGTTGGTTCTTGTATGCACAACAAAGTTTTTTGGATTACTCTTGATAACATTTCTAAATTTTTTTTATGTGAATATAGTCAAAGTTTATACTTCTAATAAATACCAAGAAAAAAAATCCATGTGTGGCTAGATTTAGTAGATATACTGTCTCCTAGCACCTCTTATATTTTTGGAGGAGGTTAGAATATGGTTGAAGATGCAAAAAATAAATCCTATTTTTGTAGAAGACTTCTCATCAGAGACAAGGAGACTAATTAGAATTAATTTTAATCTCACTTTCTTCTTGCGGACTCCTTCAAATATGAAAATATATTGAATTACTCTTAGAACAATAAAAGAAATGCAGTTTGTGTATTCACCAAAATAGATTGATTTTATATCAATGCTATCTCATTATTAATTGACTACATCCATGATAATTGTATAAGAAGAGATAATGTATTATTTGACTACCTTCCAGTTGAGTTTACACTCCAACTTCAAAAATCTAAACAAAGACGTTTATACTACACAATAAATATCTTCAAATGAATGATCCTCATGTTCTTTAACATCAAAAAGAAACATGGACTTAACAAAGTAGTAGAAGATTTTTCGTCCATTAAATAAGAGTTTTTGTATGTTTTTATAGATCTTTTTGTAAAGAACAAGCATTCTTAAAAATAAGATGATACACTAAACTCTAAGATTAATTACAAGATGCCTATACCTATCTTCATGCAAAAGTTTTAGATCATAATATACAAATACATATTACAAGTATTTAAGACCAATTCAATTTGTTTAAGGATTGTTAATGTGATAGATAATAAATCAAAGAATTATTTAAAACCATAAAGAATTTTCATCCTAAACCTATTATCACTAAATTCAAGAATCTCTTGGATAATCTACAACAAAATTTCCAAAATATTGAGAATTTTGTTTTGATTTCTACTCAAACCTTTCTAAAAAAAACAACATAAGTGTATAGAAACAGTAGAAGCTTTTAACTTTTAAAAAAAAAAAAACAATATTCCCTGCAAAGTCATTGGTAGGATAAAACATTGAATTATCTCTTCTAATTAATTTAGTCAAATGTTTTTAAAAAATTAGATGAAATAGCTAAAGACAAGGCCCCAAGTCTTGATGCTATTAGAATTAAATTCTTTGAGATCTTTTGAGACATCATTAGGAATGACTAAATTCAAATGATTAATTTGATATTAGTTAATTGTTGTTTTCTTTTAAGTTTAATTAAAGGCCATCAGGTCTTTCTCCACAAAAGAAAAGAAAAAACCATGTTGTATAACTAAAGACCTATAATCTTAATAAAAACCTCTTATAAGTTATATGCCAAAGTCTTCCAACAATTAGTTCAATCAATACTCATAAAAATAAACCTTCTTAACCAAATAACCAATCTTCTTTTAAGATTCATCTTAGATAATGTATCAATCACACAAGAAATCGTAAATTGGCTTAAAGCTTCAAATCAATGTATTCTCTCTTTAAAATTTGATTTTTTTAAAGTCTTTGATAAAATATCTTAGAATTTTAAATTTTATGCTTTGAATGTTTTTGATTTTAATGCCTTAGTTCATCATGTAATCAAAATTTTCTTGTAAGGTACCAATTTTTTTATTGGTATCAACAACTTATTTATCAAATATTTTCCAATTAAAAGAAGTGTGCAACAAGAATGCCCATTGGTACCATATTTCTTTATTATGATGGATAATCTTTTTAATATATCTATTTAAGATGTAATTAAATATCAATAACTTAATAGCATCATCATTTCTTGGAATAAAAACCAATAAATTATACATGAGCATGCAAATTATTATAAAATCCTTATTAAAGATAAAAAGATAAAATAATAAGATTTTAATTATATATATATATATATATATATATAATTAAAAATCTTAAAATTGAGTAAAGATAGAACCTATATATATATATATATATATATATAATTAAAAATTTATTATATATTAAAAAATTAAAGATTGCATTTCAAAATAAATATGGTTCTTTTAAAACTATCCAAACGAAATGTTTTTAACAGTATATTTTGCTTTTTAAACTTACAAATAATCTAATTTTATTTTAGCACTCTATAAATGATGTATATTTTCAATTCTTAGATTTTTTTTCATAAGTATTTTGAAAATATTTTTGCTACTCCAAAAATATAGAGGATTATAAATTCTTTTAAGAACCAAGATTAATTATAAAATCTACAGCAAGGAATCTCTTGCAATATGGGTTCATTTAAAAATAATGTCTTTATTTAAAGGATGCATCTAAAAGTACGATTTATTAATTACAAGACCCTTACGTATCACATATCAGCATGTATCTTAAATTGTTGTCAAGTCTATTGAAACATGTATTTGTTATGATTTTTAATTAATATTATATTTTTTTAATAAACAAAAAATCTTATCAAATGTCTTGTATAGATGTATTTACCTTGTAGAAAAAAGATGAGATGTTGAATAGAATCAATAATAGATTATTTTTTAATTAAAAAACAATTACAATTATAAATCATAAAGTCAAAAATCCTACATTACAATATTTTTCTTAATAGAGTCTCTTTAAGTAGGTCAATATTTTTTTTTTCTAACTAATAAAAATAACAAACATAATAGCTTTAAAAAATATATATATATATATATATATATATATATATTATAAAATCTATTATAAAATACGTTTATTTATTTCATAAATTTAAGCACAACATAACCTCTCAAAAGCACAATAATTTGAATAAAAAAAAAAAAAAAAAAAAAAAAAAAAAAACTAGATTTATTTTCAATAAATTTTTTAAAGCTTCAAATGTCAAGCAAATAAATCAAGACATAACTCTGAGAAAATAACATAATCTCGTGTCATTAAAAGAGAAAAAGATGTTATTATAAAAGTCATTGATTTTGAGGTCTTTAAGACTAAATTTTAAAAATAATTGAAAGTATCAAAAGATAAATTTTTAATAAGATTTTACTCAACATATTTTTTTTAAATCATCAATATATTTTGCAATAAGTTGTAACCTAGTCTAAATAGTAACTAAGTTTTCTTTTGAAGTCAATTATCTAATTATAAGATTAGATTTTTGGAAATCTATTAAAGACATAAATCTAGAAAAAATTCTAAAAGACAATACAATCATATATCACTTGAAAAATGAGAAAGTAATAAATAAATAAATAAATAAATAAATTGAAGATAGAAATAAACTACAATGGATATTATCAAATATAAAGAAACTAGAGAAACTTGAATGAATAATAGAATACAAGAAAATGAATAGTATAGTTTTATTCTTGATTGTATATACTAAGTACCAGAAAATCTTGTAGAAACTTTATAAGAGTTAAAAGATTTATAGTCCAAAGGTTAAGTTGTATGTTGCTTCCAATGCAACTTTTAAAATGTAAGAAACTTGTAAGATAAGTTTGAATAGCCACATGACATATCTATAAGGATTTAAAAATCTAATTTGTATTCAAAATAATTCTTTAAAATCTCTGAAAGAAGATATAATTTACCTGACTTATTTTTACCTAATTTAGCTAATTTCTATTTATATAAATATAATTTTCATTTAATACACGAACCTTCTTTCTAGGGTCAAGATTTTTTATAAGTTGATAAAGACTTAGATTTGTAAGATAGTATTAGTAACAACTTTTAATCCATATTTTGCACAAAGTTAGTCAATAGATTCCTTAAGCCATCAATAATGTCTAATTCAAATATAAGAAAAATACTAGGTTATTTAAATATCATTAAAGCCGTTTTAAATACTTTTAAAAAACATATTTTGAATACTGTTAGATATAGTGTCAACTTTTAGTAGTATCATAAATATCAAGGGTCTCTTTTTAGATTATTATATCATGAATTTTGCATCTTGCTAATTTTTTCAAAATAATATGTAACTTTAAAGATTTTTCATTTCAATTTTGACTTTGTGAAGGTTAAAACAACCTAAGTACTTCATCTACTAATCCTCCAAATGAAAACATTTAAAATGAATTTGTTGACTATTCTCTATCCTCCAAAATTGTTTTAAAAAATTGACCCATTATTATGTTTCTTGTGATATTAATAAATATTTTTAAGATTAGGCTGTCTACCACCAAAAAAATAAAATAATAAGAATTTAAGATTAGAATATTTATAAAAAATTATATTTAAAAAAATTAGCCAAAGTTGTTTTCAAATAGGTAAAGGTCAAAATTATTTAAATAATTCATGATATTAGGTTCTTGCATTAGAATACGTATCATAAGATTGATTAAGTATTTTAACAACTTTTGACATTATAAGCCATTGAACATCTTTTAATGTAAGCTCCAAAGCTTTTTTATATGAAGAAATGCCTTGCTATTAGAAATTCATGTTGTACTTAATCTTTTAGAATTTTAAAAAAAAGACTAATAAAAAGATATTTAAAAAATATTTATTAAAAAATGTGATATCAATTAGAATTATTGATTTAATATTTCAAAGATGTAATTGCTTTGGTTTCAAAAGAAAAATATATTGATTATTATATATAATATTATTTTATTTTTTGGCATAATAAAAAAGATTATATGAAATAATGATATTTATATAAAATTTCTAATAAATATTTTATTTATTTTAATACTTTTTCAATGATATTCTTTAATTCTACTAAATTAGACATAATTATAAAAACTTAATAATTTCTAAACCCTAAATCCTAAATCCTAAAATATAAAATATAAAATATTATTATAAAAAAATAATGAAAAGAAAAGTTCATCTAAAACCTCTAAAGCACTATCATGTTTTTTATTTTTATTTTTAAATAAATTAAATTCCCTCTTTATTAAAAAAATCAAAATTTATTATTGCATATATTAATCTTGTTATAATATACATGGTATCAATTTGAACGAATTTCTAAAAAGTTAATATATTTATATATTACTTTAAAAAATATAAAAAAGAAAAGAAAAGAAAAGAAAAGAAAAGTATATATATATATATATATATATATATATATATAGATAAATGCCAAGTATAAAGAAATTAAATAACATTAGACCAAGACCAACATATAAAAAAGATACTAACAAGATTAAAGATGGCTATAGTCTTGTTTCTATATAAACTAGCTACTAAAAAGACTTTATAGAAGCTTCTTAAGAATTACATAAATTTTACTCGAATAATCCAAGTTGTAGATTGCTTCCAATTTAACTTCATAAAAGTAGAAAACTTATAATAAATATATTAATATTCATGTGGTACATAAAAATAAATTTAAAATTCCAATTTGCATCAAAAAAAATTGCTCAAAATTTATTATGGAAGATAATATATATTTAACATGTTTCTATCAATTATTTCTTAATTTATATACTTAAGTAATATATCCATTTTTTATATTTGATTTCATTGGACATTAATATACTAAGTTTTTAGCTTGATTTATTGCTAACCACTCAATTATTAAATCACAATACATTAAAGAATGTTTTGCTTCTTTTTAGTATTATCTCTTTATTTTTTCTTTGTTGCAAAACAAAGATCCAAAAGCATTTACAAAGATATATTAAAATTGAATAAATTATTTTTATATTAATATATATATGTATTATTTTATAAATTTTATACATATATAGATTATAATCTAATAATAAAATAGAAAATCTAATTAATTTTTATGATTATATGGATATATGGTTTTTAATTTTTAGTTTTTATTTAAATTTATTTCAAACAAATTTTGTCTTAAAAGAAATTAAAAGGATACTTTACAAGCTATTTAATTTTTCTTTACAAACTTGAGAACCACAGTTTTAATATGGGTTTTACTAATTGAATACAATGATTGATCTTCTTTCCGAATCAAATATTAATGATTTATACTTTAAAATTTTATAAATATTTCTTATTATTTAAAAGTTCAATATATATATTGTAAATAGATACAAAACTTACATATATATATTCTATTAAGAAGAATGAACTAAGAAACAAATCAAAACACAAAGTCATTGTATTGTACATTATATATATATATATATATATATATGTATATAATATAAATAAAAATTTAAATTTAAATGAGATGATTATCAACATAAAATTGAAAATGAAATTTACAAAATGATATAAATCCAAGTGTACATTTCGTACAATGATTTTTTTATTTTTTTTTATTTTTGAGAGAGGATGATTGACCGTCTCGAGAACCATCCACCCCTTGTTTCATCCACCACAGGTTCATCCATCCATGTTTAATCCATTCATCGTTGGGGGGGAGGGGGGGGGTTCTTATCCGGAGGCAGGCACAGAGAAGAGAAGGCCAGAGAGCAAGCGGGCGGAGAGCGGAACGGGGCACCTCCCTCCCTCCCTTCTCCCTCCCTCCTTCCTGCTGCTGCGTGGTGCTATGTGGTGCTGGTGTGGGCACAGAGACGATCTCCTCACTCGCGCAGTAATTTGGTGACTGACTGGCTGATTGTCGCAGCAATGGCGTCCTCGGCTACTCTCACAGTTGCTGCTGCTGCTGCTGCTGCTGTGGGTTTGCCCTCCGCGGCCACCTCCCGCGCTACCACTCTGCGAGCTTCGTCTTTCGCGGTGAGCTATTTGTTGTCTTGCCTTCAGCATTTACTTCCTGCTCACAATTCACGTAGGGTTTGGCTCTTGGAGCTTTTCCCTATGAATTTGTGTTTGTGTGTGTGTTTTAATTTTGGAAGTTAGTTTCGAAGGCTGGCACGGTGTCTCTGTTGTGTTGAAGCCAATAGGCTACGTGAGGTGCTGATAATGCAGATGTGGGAGAAGGTTTTTGGAGGTTTATGAGAACCATCTGTATGGTGTAGGGTTTCTGGTTGCATGACATCTTATTTCTGTTTGGTTTCGTTGGAGGGGATGGTTTGATAGTTGTAGAATTCTGTTGTGTCAGAGAGCTGCAATGCGAATTGATTTATCTAAGAGTTTGTGGTGGAGGGTTAAGTTGCATGGTAATAGGATTGAAGCCAATTCAGCTGCACGCTCCATTTGAAGAAACGATGATTCTAAGTAGGGCATGTCCAAGGTGCACATTTAGGTGGCACGCTATTTTGCTCTACTCTTCAAGTCTATTCTTAATGATGCTGATTGTCTTTCTAACCCCTAATCTTATTGTGTAGGTTCATCTGTCGACATTTGAGGGTTTGAGGGCCGAGGGATTGGTGAGCAGCTCGAACTTGGTGCGGCAATCTGTTGCCTATTCTTCCTCTACTCCCAGTTACCCCAGTTTCTCAGTGAGGGCTGCTGTTGCTACCGAAGCCCCTCTGGTACGTTGCATTATCTTATTCCCTGCTGTCAAAACCTGATATCCCAGTGTGTCATCATATTCCTCTGCCATAGAATCCTTCTGATTTTCTTCGTGGCTATTAATCAGACTTCGACGAAGCAAAAAATCCGTATCAAGCTTCGTTCATACTGGGTCAACTTGATTGAGCAAGCATGCCAGCAAATCTTGGAAGCTGCACGCAGCTCGGAAGCCAAAACCATGGGTCCTGTTCCTCTGCCTACCAAGAAGAGGGTGTACTGTGTTTTGAGGTCACCTCATGTCAACAAGGACTCTCGGGAGCATTTCGAAATTAGGACGCACAGGCGCCTCATCGATCTCGAGAACCCCAATGCGCAAACCATCGACGCCTTGATGCAGCTGGATCTTCCGGCTGGTGTTGACGTTGAAGTGAAGCTATGTTAGTTTGTTAGAATATTTTGGTCGTAGTAATTTACAGGTGCCAACGAGAAGCGACTTTCATTAGCATTTCCTAAGTGTGAATCTCTCACTAATTTCTTTTGTCTTTCTAATAGACCCGAGAATGATAAGGTTGAAGAGCCAACTATTTTGCTTTCATGTCCAACTTTTTTTATTTTTTATTTTTTATTTTTTATCGTACCATGCAGTGTGCCGTTTCGAACGATATCGCTGCCGTAACAGCATTCACTTTTCGAGAGTAAGGTGTTTCTCATTCTGAAAAGATAAGTCGTAGATGTATTGTATCCAGAGATTTAACGCTGTGTGTACAGCTTTCTCCAAGGCTCCACTCAGATTTCAAACGCTCGCACTGAGTAGTTCGGAATTGTCGCCGGAGTGAATTGGTTTAGTCCGTGGGTTACTCGATCGGTTGTGTATGAGTTGGATGTTACCGGCAGGAAATACTGGCTTCCTGTGTCGTAGATAGGAGCGTTCTGTAGGCATGGAGATTCGAGAACCAACAATTTACATACATCCAAGGTTGGAGGGTATTGGGATGTCCTGCAACTTAACTCTTGGGAAGGAGGATTGGAAGGGCTATGACGCAGTCCAACCCTTGGGTCCCCACGCGATTAGCTTGCAACTCTTTTCATCATCTCTACCATCGCCGGTGTCCTCAACCGTGCGCATCGATGGCGTGTGCTCTAAGGCGGAAGTGAGTATGTAGCATTCCGATGATCTGGTTTTAATGAGCGTGTGGCCCTGCTCGTTTCAATCAATCCCGTGCTTTCTCTTTGCGAAATGCTGGGCGTATAGGTGCCTTGTGCATTTCAATGCAGAGTCGCTTCGCATGATCGGATGTTCCTGCTTATGAATTGGCCGTAGTTTGGTTGCAGTTGATCGCCAATTGTCGCATCAGATTCTTATGTTGGTAGGAAGAATGCTTAAAAATGGAAGCGTATCAAGAACTGCGCTCCAGTTACGTAGGCTGAGATGAACTTCATGGCAACGCTTCTTTGCGAACTCTAGCAGCTGGACGCATATGAGAGTCGACGAAGGCTACGATAAGAAAGATTTTCACTTGACTGTGAATGTGCTGAGCCTGGTCGTATACGAATCTGAGCACTCTTGAGCATGATAGGGTTTGTCACGAAAATCTGCTGTGTCTCCTATTTTTTATTCTTGGTGAACACTCTCCCTGTCCCGTAAGCATCACAGTTTGCGATGACTATGAGGTATTATGGAGCTCGAAAAGTTGCAACATGCGCATAGACTAGAATCAATTCTAGCGCATCGACCGAGAAGGGCGTCGTCACTTTTAGGGCACCTAGCGTCTCCAAAGAATAGCAAGATTGTCACGATGTATTGAATCGAATCGGAGCAAGGAAAAGCAGAGCAAGAATGGCAGCTCTTGATAATGGCTGGTGGACTATGACGATATTCTGATGTTACGATTGCGGTCCTAGAGTAGTAAATCAAGAAGGGAGGATTCAATTATGGAAAGGAACATGGAGGTCCTCTAGCGAGCAACAAGCTTGTGCAGGATAGCTTGTCGAGAACATCCCCTGATGGCAGATAATAAGGCGTGGATTAACGCCCTCACAGCAGGTACGGCAGTGGTTGCTGTTGCCACTGTTGTTTGTGTGTGGCAGAGGATGCAGGGGAGCACACAAACAACGAGAACTACTCGCCACCAAGCGCTCGGGCTTTTACATGAATTTCAGCATGCTGCAGCGACCCCCTTGTACGTTTTGCGACAGATCTCGGAGCACATGGCGGTAGAGATGCGTGCCGGCCTAATGACAGAGGGCAAGAGCAGCCTGCTCATGCTGCCAACTTTCGTGGAAAATCTTCCGGACGGGTGATGATCGCCCACATCCCTCATCCTTTAGAGCTGCATCACGGTTTTTTGCAAACATCCGCAACACTATGAATTGTGCCACAGTTTCTTACTGTACAACAGTGTGCGGGTTCAGAGCTGTAAGAGTTAGGAAGCCTTCAGTTCAGTCCTTGCTCTGGATTTGCACTGAACGATGGGTGGTTTGAAAAACGCGACACTTCGAGGACTAGACCTATCTAAAGGAATGATTTCAAGCTGCATTGCTAAATAGCAGCCTGTAATCCACGCTTTCAAACCTAGGACTCTGGAATAAGTGAGGTTAATTAGTGTTGTTACTCAGGTATCTAAGAGTGTTTGAAGGAGGCGACATTGCAAACGGCGTGAAGGTCAGTTCTGAAATGCAAAGCAGGATTTTGCAGAAATGAGACAGGTCTGTTCTACGCCTTGGATTTAGGCGGAACCAACTTTCGGGTTCTGCGCTGTCTCCTTGGGGGAAGAGAAGGCAGAGTACTGAAACAGGAGTACGAGGAGGTCCCTATTCCCAAAATACTCATGTTTGGCACAAGTGAGGTATGCCACTCTACAAGTGACACCCAATGTGATGTAGAATAGCTTCAGATTAGTTGTTTTCGCAACTCTTTTGCTCATGATCTAGTTGATTATGCACGTTCATGGATTGAGGGTTAGAGGAGATTTTGTTTTTCATCTGAAGGGATTGAGGTGATTCAAGTTGTGCAGGAACTTTTCGACTTCATAGCCAAGAAGCTGGTCGACTTCGTCAACCGAGAGGGGGATGAGTACAAGCCGCGCGGTGGCCGACAACAAACAGTCCGCGAACTCGGGCTGACGTTTTCTTTCCCTGTGAAGCAAACATCAGTAAGATCTGGTGTTCTCATCCAGTGGAGCAAAGGCTTCTTAGTTGCTGACGGGGTATGTCTCTAATGCCATTTCTATGAGTTGATCACATGGGTATCCTGACTGTCCTTGAGAAGCACATGGACTCAAGAATGAACACAATTTCTTTTAGGTTGGAGCAGATGTGGTGGCGCTGTTGCAGCGTGCGATCAATCGCCAGCATGGACCAAAGATTGAGGTGGTTGTGCTGGTATGACTCCTAATTCTTTCCATATCAGGGATTAGTCGGAACCCCTAGCTAATTTGAGCTGTATACCTCTTTATTAGCCAAGCCTTTGGAAGTGATTTTTACATTTGCATTTAGGAGTCTCCTCGTGCAGGTGAACGACACGGTGGGCACTTTGGCAGGAGGGCGCTATTGGAACGAAGATGCGATGGTTGGGATGATTCTGGGGACAGGTACCAACGCTTGCTATGTGGAGCGTGATCTGCCTGCCCATGCCAATTCCAGCACGGGTGAAATGGTCTTCTTCTCATCCTGCTTCTCTCCTTCGCACTCCCCATGTTCACAAAGATTATGAGCGTTGCGAGCGTGATTATCTCCCTGGTGGCTTTTGGTCAGGTTATCAACATGGAGTGGGCTGGGTTCTGGTCGTCACATCTGCCACGCACTTATGCCGATGAGCAGCTTGACAGTGAGAGCGTCAACCCTGGTCAAGCGGTATTGCTCTGTGTACCTTGATAACAATGTTCGTGCCACTTGGAGTAATTGGACCTAGAAATCCGCTGAATGGAAATCAAAACCTAAGAATGTGAGAGTCGTGTAGGGATTCGAGAAAATGATTGGAGGCATGTACTTGGGAGAAATCGTCCGTCGTGTATTGTTCAAAATGGCGGGGGAGGCTGCGTTGTTCGGGGATGAAATACCGCACAAATTGAAAGAGCCGTTTGTCTTAATGTAAGTATCCCAAGCGCTGAGCACATAGTTTGGATGTGCGTGTCACAATGCAATTATCAGTAGTACTGGTAATGCTTACGCAATGCAACTTGTAATCTAATAGACATTGCTTAAAAGTATGATATTTTTACTCGCAGGACTTCGGAGATGTCGAAAATGCATGCTGATGAATCCAGCGACTTACGGGTGGTGGGCACAATTTTGAGAGATGTGTTTGGGGTAAAGTTACTAGGGAGTGCTAATAAACTTTCCTAATACAATTCACCGTGTGTGCATTGCAATTCATTCCATGGACAGCCTTGGGCAAAATTGTTGTTAAGGGCCTTTGAGTGATTGTTATTTATCTAATTTGCGGATTGCGCGATCAGATTCAAAAAACCGAGTTGCCTACGCGTAGGATTGTGCACGACGTGTGCGACACTGTAACCTTGCGCAGTGCAAGGCTGGCGGCAGCTGGAATTGTGGGCATCTTCAAGAAAATTGGCGGGGACTCGTGGGACTCCCCACATCTGAGCGGGACCTCCAAAGCAGTCCACCACCACTCCCGAGTGACTAGCACAGGAGTAGGAGCCGGAAAGACCATGGTGGCCATGGACGGAGGACTCTTCGAGCATTACATCCAGTACCGGATCTACATGCAAGCCGCTGTTAGTGAGCTACTGAGTGAAGCCGCAGCGAGTCGCCTGGTGATCCAGTTGGCTAAAGATGGATCTGGTATTGGAGCGAGCATTCTTGCAGCCTGTCACTCCAAGTACAGGTAACAGGTACTCGATCAGTCATATGCTGAGCTGATGATGCTTTTCCGGAGCTGAGTGCTCAGCCAATTGAATCTCTATGCTTTGCAACACACCCCCACATCGCAGACAGTCAAATTTCTTTTTGGTCGTGGTGCTGAATATCATAAGTAGTTGGCAAAACGAATGTGCGTTTCTCATTCACCAAGAGAGTGCGTTATCCATCCTTGAATGCTGAATGCTAGACTGGGTCACATTTTGCCGAAACAAACTTATCGTTGACGTGGCGCGCTTCTTTCATTTACTGTTGTTGACGCTTGTTTGTTTTACCGACATTGTAGAGATCAGTCGAGGAGTGACCATAATACTCGAATGTAACCGAATCTGTCGTTTATGAAAATTGTTGTCTGAAAGTAATGAAACAATACATCGTCTGTCTAATTCACCAACTTCTCAAAATGTACACTATATGAGACACAAGCTTTACAATTTTTGATTCATGCTCTGCTTCGTCGTCACAAAGCCTTCTCAATTGAGCTCCGTAGCTAAGCAACCGTGTCGGTAGCATCCACAAAACTGTCTGTATTAAAGTTTAGAGTGAGAAAAGCAAGGAGTCGAAATTTTAAACAAGGATGCTGAATAGTTGTCGTAAAAACGTAATGAAAACATTAACAAACTTGTATAATGTATATTAGAATTTTTTTAAGTTTTATATGTTACAATTCCATTCATTAATGTATTGGTGCCCAATCAATATCAAAACTTTAACGATCAATAATAAAGTGATATATTACATATTTTAATTTATTCATATCACATATTACAATATATGATTAAAAACTTCATTTATGCTATGAGTATAATAGTAGTATTATTTTATTTTAAGATTTAGTTGGATATTATGCAATAATATTATGTAATATTAAAACATTATTACATAAATGTATAGTTTGATTAGCTTATATGTATTATATGTAATATTAAAATATTATTACATAAATGTAAAGTTTGATTAGCTTATATGTATTATATGCAATATAAATTATTAACTATAAAATTTGAATACTAGTTTTATTCTATAACATATTTTTTTAATTTACTCAAAAGACTTATATAACATTGCATATGTAGTTTTGAAGTAATATTTATAATCATTAATATTCATCCTATTTCATTTCCACTCTTTTTTATTATTCTTTTCTAACATACTATATATATATATATATATATATATTTAAGATGTTTTAGATATCAAAGTATGTATATTACTTTGTATCATTTTGATTAATATATTCAACTATTCCATTGTGATTTAATTATTATGTAAATTTTAATAGATATTTCAAATATGATAATAAAAATAAATTAACTAAGAATTATAAAAAAAAAAATTTAAAGTCACTTTTTTTCTTTTAATAATATGTATAATTTCTTTAAAAATACATATAAAATATGTTTTTATTATATATTTTTTATGCCTTTATTGGTTAATATTGTAGTTAATTTATAAATTCAAAGATAGCTACTATATATATACATGTTTTTTTTTTGTATTTCATTCTTGAAAAGAATCAAAATAATATAGTATAGTTTTTGTTTATAGATAATTTTTATTCTATAAAATCATTTATAAATACTTTTAATTTATAGGAAATTAATCTTATGCAACTAATGTATTATAAATGTATTTCTAATCAGCTTAAATAATTTAATTTGAATGATAAAATAAATATATTTCTACCTAAAAAATAACTAGACTATTTTTATAAGTCAAGTATCACAGTTATAGATAAATGAAATACTAACATGTACTCCAATTCAAAAGCAATTGTCTTATATATCATAATCTACAATATCATATATATATATATATATATATATATATAAAAGAATGCAACTTAAGTTAAATAAATTGAATAAAAAAAAATGTAACAATAGTGCCAAGCTTGTCTACAAACTAGGCACTATCAACAAAATTGGCATAAAAATATGAAACCTTACAAGACTTCTAATAAAATTTCTATCAAGGAATAGAGACGAATTGTCTTACATATACATAAGGATTCCAATAAATACCTATATGATTAGGTAGAAGTAAGTAAAAATAGATAAAAGTAGGTTAATTTCTTAATATCTTCTAGAAAAGCTTCGTAGAAGCTTTATAGATGCTACTTCGACTTTATATGTGTTTGTAGTTGATTTGTAGGTTAGAAACTTAGTCAATAAGTTAACCACGTATTGTTAGCTTGTGAAACAAGCTAACTATGCGGCACTTATATAAAAAACTTATCTTGTAAGTTAAGATACATGTCTTATAAAGTCAGCACATTTTGGAGGTCTTATAGAACATCGCCATGTAGCTCCTAGTTAAGAGTAGATAGATGCAAGAGTGAAACCTTCTTCACTCTTGTTAAAGCCTTTTTAGTCATTGGTCTTGTTTCAAAACATTTTAGTCTTTTTGTTTTTAATAATAGCCATTTTAGTTCAATTATGTACCATCTTTGAGTGACTTTCTACTTCTTTTCAATGTCACAAGAGTGTATTGAGGATTTCTTTCTTTGAAATTCATGTCCTTAATAGTTTGACAAGAGTACTAACTTGTTGTTTCTATCTTCTTTCAAAAGTGAGTGGATTATGCTACTTCTATTGTTGTATTTTGAAGGTTGTAGAGTACCCATCTTTAAAGAAAAAATCTTGTTTTCTAACACTAATCTTTTCCTTGAAGAGAGTAGATTATCCTTCTTTGTAGAAATTTTCATTTGATTTTAGAGGTTGCAAATTATTTTCCTCTAATTTAACTTTTTTAACTTGTGTGAGTTGTTTATAGAAAGAAAGATTATCGATGCTACTCTCAATGGAAGTGAGAATAGATTTGCAATTATTGCAGTTATTTATAAGCTTGTCAACACTTTAAGAATAGAAATCTCATGTATTTCCAACATAAATCATAGAGGTACTATTCCTACACTTATGGAAGAAGTTCAAAGTCTACAGTAAGAAGTTTTGCAATTGAAAGAAGCAAGTAGATCAACCTCACAATCAAATCTAGAAAATTTTGCTTTTACAAGTATGATAAAAACTAGAATTAATATGCCTGAGAAGTTTGATGGAAGAAGATCAAAATTTTAAGGATTTCTACAACAAATCAAGCTCTATCTGAGGTTGCATCACTTCCAATACCTTGATGGATTATTCAAATTGGATTCATAGATGTACTTCTATTAATAAGTGCTCTCTCTTGGTTTGCACCTTTAATAGAAAATGATTTTTAAATTCTTTATGTTTTGAATTCATTCTTAAAAATATTTACGACTACATTTAGAAAAAATAATTGAAAAAGAATAGCAGAGACGAAGCTCTTATTTTTTGGGCAAGAATGATAATCAGCCACCATATATGCTAGTGAATTCTAAAAACTAGCTTGCGACATGGACTAGAATAACAAAGCCCTTATTAATCAATTTTGATATGAATTGAAGGATAATGCCAAAGATTTGTTATTAACAATGTCAAAGGCAAAATCTTTGAAATAATTTATTACTCAAGCTATTGTATGCTACAATCGATTCTTTAAAAGACATCGAAAACAAAGACTTAATTGAAGAAGAATAAATTTAATAATAATGACAACTCTCAAGTTTTCCAAAACACATTTATCTAAGCCAAAACCAATATAAGTTGATACTATACGTTTTAAATCTTTCATAAAGTAATAAAGACTCAATGACGTCAAGAGGACTTATGTTTATATTATGGAGAAGCTAATCATACTGCTCAACATTGTCCAAAGAAACAATGCAACCACAAAATCAGAAGTATAGTTGCTAAAGAAGAAAATGTATTAGAAAATGAGTTTTTTCAACTACATTAGGGATCGAGCAGCTGAAATCTTATGTAATTCCTAATAAAGGTCTTATTCTCTGGTTAGATCCTTCACCTTGATTTATAATAGAAGTTTATTTAGGACCAAAAAATCACAAAGTCTTAGCTTTATTAGATTTAAGAACCTCAGCCTATTTTATACACAAAGATTTTGTTAAAAAATAAAAAATATCATTAGTTAAAAAAACTAAACTTGTACATGTAGAAGTCATATATGGTCATTTATTATCTTTTGAAGGTGTTACGCATGAGACTATTCCTTTAGATGTAGCAATTAAAGATCATAATAATATAACAATATTTAATATAATAAGATCTTTGTTCAATCTAGTTATTTTAGGATTATCTTGGTTAGAAAAGTATAATCCTCAGATAGGTTGGATTTCTTGTAACCTTAATTTTTGTGAAATTTTACTCCAAAATCTCATTAGTTAAATAAAAATTCATAAGTCAAGTACATCCAAATTCTTATTGCTAAGTATAAGAACTTTAATGCATGCTACAAAAGAAAGGTTATCTTTTGTTTTATATGCCATGCCCATTTTTGATGCTGAAAAGATGTCAAGTGGTATTCTCAACTAGTATTAAGATTTCTAGGATATTTTTGAAAAAAAAAATATAGATATTCTTCTAAAATATCGTCGTTATGATTATTCCATTGATCTTCATGAAGAAACTCAACCACCATTTAGACCAATCTATAGCCTATACAAAATAAGTTGAATGCACTCAAGAAATATATTGATGACAATTTTGCTAAAACTTTCATACATCATTTTAAATTTCTAGGCAAGACTCCTATCTTACTTGTGAAGAAAAAAAATAACATATCTTTTTGGATGTGTGTGGACTATCGAGGATTTAATAAGATTACCATTAAGAATAAGTATCTTCTACTTTTGATTTCAAGACTTTTTAATCAAATGAATCAAGCTAAAATCTATATAAAAATAGATCTACAAGAAGCATATAATCTATTACGTATTAAAAAATAAAATGAATGAAAAATTACATTTTAAACCAGGTATGGGTATTTTGAATATAATGTAATACCTTTTAGACTCATAAATATACTAGTTAATTTTTAACATCTAATGAATGATATCTTTCATGAGTTTCTTGATGATTTTATCATCTATTATTTAGACGACATCTTAATCTACTTTAAGAATACAAAAGAACATGAATTTTATGTTTATTATTTGTTACAAAAACTTAGAGATGTAGGATTATATGCCAAGTTAAAAAAGTGTGTATTCTACACTACTTAAGTTGACTTCCTAGGATACATCATTTTTAAAAAATGGCTAATCATGGATTTGAAGAAGGTCTAGAATATCATAAATTAGAAGATTTCAAGAACAATAAGAGACGTGCAATACTTTTTAGACTTATCAATTACTATTGGATCTTCATCAAAAAAAAAAATTCAAGCTATAGCTCCACTTACAGGTTTGACTTGTAAAGACAAACTTGAATGGAGTAAAGAAGCCAAAGCATTATTTGATGCTTTAAAAAAAAAAAAAAAAAATACACTAATCTTCTATTGTGTTGATTTTTTCAAGGCATTTTTTTATGGAAACAAATGTATTATATTTTGCCTTGGATGCACTATTACCACAAATACGAGCAAATGATAAACTCTATCTATTAGCTTTTTATTCTAGAAGTTTTTTAATAGCAGAGGTTTATTATGAGATCCACGACAAAGAGCTCCTTGCAAGCATAGATTCATTTTAAGAATGGCATCATTATTTAGAATACGCCTCAAGTTCAGTCATAGTGTATACAGATCAAAAGAGTCTCAAGTATTTCATGTCAACATATATTTTGAATTATCACTAAATTCATTGAAGTATGTCTTTATTAAGATTTAATTTCAAGATCACTTATCAACCCAAAAAACAAAAAGGTTTTTTGGACGCCTTTTCTTGATGTTCTTATCTTGTACCAAAAAAATTAAATGCGTATTTTGATCAACAAAGAATAATTCTCTTTTCGGAGTATTTTAACCTTTGAGCAATAAAATCAATATTGGTTGTTGATTCAACTTTTGTTGAGCAAATTTAATAAAGTATATCTTTTGATCTTCTTATCTATGATATCAAGAATAATTCTTTTAAGTATTATGATACTTCTAAATTTAAGTTTTAAAAAAATCTACTCTATTTAAGGAACAATTATACATTCCAATAAGTGGAATATAATTATGTATTCTTCAAACTCATCATAAGTTTCTAACAGTTGAATATTTTGGATATAACAAGGCTTTGGAGCTAATATTGAGAGATTTTTGGTGGCCTCAAATGTGAAAGGTAGTCAAAGATATTGTACAATCATGTGATATTTGTTGAAGATCCAAAACTCATTGCCATCAACCTTGTGCACTTCTTCAGCCTTTATTTAGTTTAGAACAACCATAGTCTTTCGTTTCTCTAAGTTTTATCATGAATCTTTCATTCTTAGGTTTGTATGATTCTATATTCATGGTAGTAGATTGTTTCACCAATATGGCACATTTTGTACCATATACAAAATCTATCACAAGTGAAGAAATCGCTAAGTTTTTTTTTTAAGAATATCTAAGAGTATCTTTATGTTATCACGGATTACCTAAAGATACTGTATCGGATAGGAAGACTCAATTTATATCAAGATTTTGGAGAACCCTTTTTAAGATTTTAAAGGTGGATATAAAGCTCTCTTTAGCTTTTCATCTTCAAACTGATGGGCAAATAAAATGAATGAATCAAGTTTTGGAGCAGTATTTGACGTGTACCATGAACTATCTTCAAGATGATTAGACAACTCTTTCACCATTAGTAGAGTTTGCGTACAATAATTTGGTATATTTTTTCACTCAATAAATAACTTTCTTAGTCAATTATGGTTATCATCCATGACTTAATATTTTTGACTTTTCAAAAATTCATAATCTTGTAATCGAAGATTTGGAAAATTGTTTGTGAGAGCTATGTATAATAATGAAGGCATAGTTAAAGAGAGTTTAAGAACGATAAAAGATTAATGCAGATGCTTATTTCAAGGAACAACCACAATTCAACATAGGTGACAAGATATTACATCCATTCTTGTCATATGTAATATTAATGAATGCACATCGGAATCAACAAATAATTTTGCAAATGCAGCAAAGAAAGTTGAAGCTTTTCAAAGATCAAAATATGTGGCAAATATAATTTATCGCATCTTGGATTTTATCAACATATGATGATTGCTCCTTGTGGAACTTGTCTTTAGAAGGAGGATAATGTCATGGATATATATAGGTACTCTAGTAAATATTTATATAATTAGGGTAACTTATGTAATTAGGGTAACTTTCTTCAAAATTCATGTCCTTAAATTACTACAAATTAATCTTACTTATATAAGTAATATTTCTTTTTTCATAAATAATTACATAAGTAAGATTTCTTTCTTCAAAATTCATGTTCTTAAATTACTACAAATTACAAATTACGAATTTTGAAGTAAATACTTATATAATTATTAAACTATTATTACTCACAATAATATACAAGAGTGTATTGAAGATTTCTTTCTTCAAAATTCATGTCCTTGATACAAATTTATCAAACTAACTTATGTGATGGATAATAGAATTTTTGCTATCAAAAAATCTCTTTGTAAAATAAAAGCGATGTCATTAATAGACAAAATTCAATAGTTTTGGCAATGTCTTTTTTGTCAACTAATTGCCTATAAACAACTTTGGTAGAAAAAGAAGAAACTATTGTACTAAGCAATATTATTCTCATTCTAAATCCTAAAGTGAAAAAAGTAATATACATGATAGATGGATCAATAAAAGGATGTCATTTATTTCATTTGAAACATATAGAAGTTAGTAATTTTGAAAAATAACACCCTTGATAATTTTAATCAATACAATAGAGTCTAAAAACACTACAATATGATTTAGTAAACCATTATAAAAGAATAAATTGAGTACCAATTTATCATAAATATTAAAAATTACACCAATATGCCACACAATTTTTAAAATGTTTTAAAATAACAAAAGTATGTTATTCATGAAATTAATGTCAACAAAGATTCATGATCTTTAACAATTGATGAAACTATTGGATTTTTTTGCTGAAAGGAGTACAAGTAGATAGAACTTCTAGTATAAAATTCATAATAATAGTTAGAATAGATTTATTTTTAAAAAATATATATATATATATATATATATATATATCATTTAGGAGTTAATTCTATTTTAATCATTCTTCAAATATATTAAGTCTAGTAGGATAAAACCCATTGAATAAATAAATATAAAATCCATTAATTACATAGAATAAAGACACTAATTACCACAATTAAATATTAGATAAATTTTATAATTCTAAATTAGAAATATAGCCAAAAAAACTCACTCATTTTTCTTGGTCATTATTAATTATATTAAATGAAAATCAAGTACAATTAAAAACCAGGAATCATAATAATACAATTGGGATTGTATTGTAGTATCATTTGAACGTATCCAATACAATAAGCACCTGGATAACCAGTCAAAGGTTCCCGGTGACGGATGACCGTGTCGGGAAGGGAGCCCATCTCTATGACCGTGGATCAGAGAGATACCAGCATTTGAGGGCTTCCTGAACTAAGGCGCGAATCAGCGATGACGTGTTGACAGATAATATCTGACACGTCATCGATCCTTCGCGCCAAAGTTCAGAAAGCCTGCGCTGGAGATTCTCTTCGACGCTTCGGCTCCTGTTGTGCCGCCAAGTGTCCTCTCTGTCAAGTAGTGTGGGTCCTATGTAAATGGTATGCTTCCATCGAAGTTCAAATATCACAATGCGAACTGCACTTCTCAGCATTCTGTCGTGTACGTTTTCGATCGAGACTGGCTCTGCGATTCCTCTGAATTTTTCTCTGAGTTTGAGAGTTCTGTGAGACTCATCATCTTTGCCTCGATAAGTCCGCTTGTTGTTAAGTGTTTGATCCACGTCTTGAGGCTTCGTGGTTGTGGGAGAGAGTTTGGGGATGGCGAGAACGAAGGGGAAGAAGACTCACGGAGCGGGACGCGCTGTGGTGAAGAACAAGGTCAGCCCTGCGATAAAGTTTGCGGACATGAGGGCCAATGCAGGACGGAGCTTTTCGGTTGCTGGAGCAAAAATGTCGGAGAAGATGACGCTCATTCGTGCCAACCTCATGCTCAAGGTGTACCGATTAAAACATCCGGCGAACCCGGTGAAGCGAGTGGCCGCCACTGAGTCCATCAAGGAGATGAAAGCAGCTGCTACAGGTACCATCTCCTTCATGACTGCAGTCACTGCATTTTGTTTGTTGTCATTGTGGCCAACGCCTTCTTGGTGGCTCATTTTGGTCTCCTCAGCTCCTGTAATCGGTATGAAGTTTGACTGTTCCGAAGATAGTTGTAACGCTCGGGATCAGAAGTGCATCGATGGAGTGATTATACCGCGCTATCTTCTTAAGTAACTTTCTTGATCAAATTTTTGCTGCTTGTGAGAGAGACCACTATTGGCCTAAAGCATCCCAGAAATGACGGTTGATGTTGCCATGCTGTTGCCAGAGAGGAGAATCCAGAAGGTGGCTCGTGCATCGGATGTTGCAGCTCGGAAGCGTGCAGTAGCGCGTGAGCGTCGCGCTTTGGACATGGCCAAACACACGTAAACATTGCACATTACAGAGCACCCTCGAGAGATTGGTGAAATCTGCTACTGTTAGGTGCTCGATTGTGAGCACCAGTTCTTCCGAAAGCTGCACGTTATTTGATAAGGTTCCTAGTGCTGCCTAGGATCTATACAGCAAAAATTCTTCATGAATCGAAGTTGCCCTAGATGATTTATTTATCTTTACTCTTACCGTTTTTGCATTCTTCGTAGGATATTTATGAGTTTCCCCCTCTTAATTTAGAGTTGGGCAATTCTTTTAGGATAACTCAGGTGATGGCGCTATAAAAAGTACTAAATGTACACATATGTTGAGACCCCCACCATGTGAATACAAATTCTCTTGCTTACGCATTATAACTCTCAGATCGATGTGCGCAATGTGTCAATCTGCTCACTCTGTTGGCTAAAAGCGTAGGTAAATGTTTCAGCAATAAATTAGATTTTGAAAATGGGTGCAGTTTTATTTGACGCATTTTGAACACTTGGCACAACCCTGATTTGTGTCTGAATAGATGATCAAGGTTTTAGTAAAAGGCTAACCTTCACATACAATACCTTATTGAAGAAGGACGCTTGCTGACAACCTTGGATATAAAAGGATACTCAAGATTTAAGTTGTAACAAACTTCAGGTATTAAAAACTCATAATAACACAGTTTGAACTCGGTTCTTCATATTCTTCACTTTCATCGATGTATCCTTGGTAAAGCATTCCAGACCGATCCTGGCTCTTCTCAACTTGTCACTTAAGAAAAAACAAGTCAAACGTGAAACTCCACTTACTTCGACTGGACAGTCTCCTGAGGGTTAATTTCAACTTCGGCCTCAAGTTCTGCCGCTTCTAAGGAATCGTTGCCTTTCAAACCTTCATCTTTGGTTCATCGTAGAAATTGTAGCCCTCGACGTCCAGGCAATACTCTCTCCGAAAGCATTGACCCACACTTTCTATCCCTGCCACACTTCTAATTAAAGGTAGTCAAAGTTGTCAGATCTTCCAACATATTTGGCATGAAGACAAGCTCAAGCATCTTGTCATATCTAAAGCTGTGAAATATATGAGATTTTTGTATTATTTGGCAATAATATCAAATTTAAGAATTTGTTTATATTAAAGATAGTAAAAGATATCAATTTTGAACATTCTTATTTCTTTAATATAGTCAAAGATGTGAAGTTGTCCAATTCATATGATAATAATGTCAACATTTAGTATTATTTTATATTAAAAAATATATTCAAAGATGCAAGATAGTACAATTCATTTGTCAATACTATCAAACCTCAACATATTTTTTTTTGTAATTATAGTTAGAGATGTTTGGTTTATTTGGCAACAAAATTTAACTTAAATATGTTTGATATTCTAGATAGTCAAAGTTGTGAAATTGCATAATTTATGTAGCAATGATGTTAATCTGAAGTACCTTTTTATATCTAAGGTTGTCAAATATGTAAACTTCTCTAGTTTATTTGGCAATAAAATTGGGTCTAAATAATAATTAGTATCAAAGGTAGTCAAAGATATAAGATTGTACCAATGACATGAATCACAATAAAATCCAAGAGACAACATATTCATGTGTTCTTGAAGAAGAAAAAAAAAGTTAAAAAGAAAGATATAGTTGTAAGAAAGAAAATAACTAAAATGGCCTATGGCAAATACAAAGTGACTAAAGAATCTGAAACTAAGATTGCAAACACATAAAAAAAATAAAATAAAATAAAATAAAAATAACAAGACTACGAATGGTTTTATTCTTTCTTATATATATACTAGCTATGAGAAATGTCTTCTAATAGCTTCATAAGAATTGTAAGACTTGTCACCCAAGCATCAAGCTTTGAGTGCAATTTTTTAAAACTAAGAAATATATGGCATAAGTTTCAATAGCTAGGTGGCATATCTACAAAAGTCTAAATATCTAATCTATGTCTAAGAAACTTACTTAAAGCTTTTTAAAGAAGGCACTATCTTCCCGACATGTTTTTATCTACTTCTACTTGCTTCTATTTATTCAAATATTATAGATAATTATAACAAGTTATTTGATATATTTAGAAATAATGTCAAGTTTGAACAACTTATATCTAAGGTAGTCAAAGATGTGAAGTTGCTCAATTCATTTGGTAATGATATCAAGCTTAAGCAATAATTAATATTGAAAGTACTCAAGGATGTGAAGTTGTTCTATTTATTTGGCAATAATGCTAACTTTGAGCACCTTCTTATGTTAAAGGTGATGTTGTCCAATTCACTTGGCAATAATAACAAGCTTGAACACTTCAAAATATTCAAGAATTTATCACTACATATATAATAATATAACTAAAAATATGTAATATTGCTAAAAAAAATATATCAAAAATACATTTGATGAAAATTTTCTTTAATTCTACCATAAAACTATGAAAACATTTTTGTTTCTAAGTCTAATAGCATGTAATATATAAATCAATAAAATAATAGAATTATTTTAATTAATATTTTTAATTATTAAATAAATAAATAAATAAATACATAGATACATATAAAATTTTAATATAGGATTTTCATTAATTTATTATAAAAAAATAGTAAATCATTTTTATGTTTCATTACTTTAAAAAAAATTAAGAAAAAAAATAAAAAGATATATTAAACAAGAAGGCTGATTATTTTAATAGGCTGTTTTTATATAGAATAACTACAATATTAATTAAATGGTTTTAGAAAATGATATATATTTTTTTTATTTTTATTTTGGATCAAGAAATTGGATACTAGTTTCAATTTATTTTATTTTTTGCCTTGTCTTTCATACAATGACAAATAATTATTAAACAACACTATGTAGATATTTTCTTAGTTCTTCCACATCACAAATTATTATATATATTTTTTATTATTTAGATTAGTAATTTTAAAAACAGTTAAAGGAATATTATATTAAATCAAATAATATTATTCTTATTCATCTTTTAGATCTCTTTTTTATTTTTTTACTAGTGAATAGATGCAAAAATAATTCATAAAAATCAGAGTTGATCTTCTTTGGAAAAAATTCTGTTTCAACTGCCATAAACATATAAAAGTAAGGCTTTTAAAAATTAAAATATTTTCTTAAAAAATATAATATATTTCTAGAAAACTAAAAACTAAAATCTTAAAGCCTTTTGTTGTCTTCTACTTCTAAATTATTTATTTCCAAGATTGCGCTTTTTTTTAATCTGACAAACTAATGATATGCTTGTTGGACTATGTATTGATATCTTGGCTATTATTTTAGAAAGATGTATTGGCTTTTCTACAAGAATAGAGTTGTTCTCTAAAAATAGAATCTGATTAAATTGCTTCCACTATTAATCAAATTGATATGAACACTTTGTATGATACAAGCTGAATAAATTAAAGAACATTCTATAAATCATAAGATTTTGCTAGTTGGACTAGGAAAAATAGCTCATAAGTATAAAGATGACCAATGCTTTTAATTATCTCTATTGTTTCTATTTATTATATAAAAACTAAGAAGTTGTAATATAATAATATTTTTTTGATGCAATATTAAGAAAATATGTTGAAGAATTGGAATACACAACCCAATAGAAAAACATGGTTTATAGAAGATTTTACACTTAAAATTAAGAATGATTGGAAAACAAAATGATTTAAGTGAGAAGAAATATCTGTGTGACCATCATCATAACATGTGTTACAAATAAATTATTGGTTAGGAAGCATTATGCTATTGTTGTGATGTTGAAAAATTCCACAAATGTTAAAATATGATGAAAAGATTAATAATAATAATAATTATAATTATAATTATTATTGTTTTTTTTTACCAAAGACAAAGAAGTAAGATTTTTGGACAAGATTTGAAATAAAAATTGTAAAATTATGCCACTAGAACTAGTTGCAATAGAATCAATACTCAAATTCTCTTTATTGGGTTATGGAATCTTTTAATATTAAGAATCATGGTCCATTCAGCCCTCCCCCCCCATTGATGACGTCACCTTTTCATTATCAGCTAGGTTGTTTCTTACTGTGGTAAAGTCTACTTTTGGTGTTCTAGTGTCTTTAATACGGATATTGCAAAGAATTAAAATATTAATTTAATGATTTTCTGTTCAAAAACAAATCCAGAACAAGTGGTGCATTAGGATTAATTTTTTTGATTAAGATTGTTAAGTGGTTTCATATATCTTAGTTTCCTAGAAGTAATTTTAGCATAATTGTTATTGTTAGAGTAAGAGCATAGTGTTTGTATGAATTCTAATGTTTGAAAGAAGTGTCAAAGGATGAATGAGGTAGTAATATTGTGTCAAAATGGATACTTCCAACTAAAATATATATATATATATATATATATATATTCATGTGAGAAACAGAGACATCTTATTTAGAACTTAAGGAGATTCACATCTTACCTTGAAGCTTCTATCCACCATATTTCCTTGTCAATATTCGAAGCCTTGGTTGTAAGATTGGTATTTTGTGATTTTTCTAGGAAAACCAATACCTTCAAATGTGTGATCTATGCAACAAATGTCGGTGTTTATTGATGTTTGCTAATGAAGGGGATGACAGAAGAGAAAGACTCAAACCAAGCAATATTCCTCTCAACCCATGTGCCATTGATAAAATGTCCGTATATGAATACTGCTACAAATAGATGAACAAATAAACAAACTTATGAAGTTGCAAAAATAAATGTAATGGAGGGATTCACTTGGACTTGTCTTTTTTGAGTGAAGAAAGTGACCCTCCATTTTTACCCAAACTGTAAAGCATTTAGCTTTGCCAAAGTGGACCAGATCTACAAGAGTTTTTATTTGTAGTTGCAGAGGTAATTGTTTTTGAAAGTATGGAATTATGATAAAGTAAGCCCATGTCCACTAAAGTCTATGCACAATATGGTTAGTCATGATCATTGTATTATATGCCATTTGTTCAAATCATGCCAAACCACAATATATAACATAGAAAACTAATACAAATCTATTTAAACTGTTTTAGTCTGTCTATTTGGTGTAATGCAAGTTGAGTCAATTTACTAAGTGTGTGTGCAAGTTACAAGGTGTGGTTTATGTTGCACATGTGGTTGCAGCATTGTAGGGCTGCAGTGACTTCCCAAATTTGCAAAGCATATAGAACCACCAATTTTTGTACACAAACATATCATAGCATGTTCCTTCACAGTATCAATCTATACTCTTTATTATTTTGTCTTAACAACTTGAATTAACAGGTTTATTGTGTTATTTTATTTTGTTCATAATACTTGTTACAAATACACATATTATGCATCCATATATATATATATATATATATTGTACACATATACATACACATGATAACCTAAATCTCATTTAGTTTATATATTTTTATTGATACTAAACATATTTTAAACTAATACCTACATTTTCATTCTATATAATGTATGTGTATTGAACATCATATTGTTTTTATTTTACATAATCTGGTCAGTTGAAAACTTCTCAGTATCATGTATGAAATTTGTGATATTTTTATCAATTTATCAAAACCAACACAAACAGTAGATATTAACAGTCTTATTGTCCACTGAGCCCTACACCACAAGAAACTTGTTTGGTGTCGAAGTTGGTTATATACTTGGGAATACAACTCAACAACTCAATTTTTTTAATAAAAGAATGCTTCATTTTTGAAGTTGGCAACACGGTTTGAAGGTTGAACCCATAATACGGTGTCTGCAAATTCATCCCATACTTATTAACTGTCATTACATAAGTGTACTGTCCATTGATTAAAAATAACTTATGTAAGAATAGCATTAAATTTTTAAAAAACACACACACACACACACACAAATGAATATATATATATATATATATATATATATATGCCATATTTTGTCTATTTTGTCACTCGTGTTCAGCAAGCACCTCTTATTTGTGTTTCTTACTTTTTGAAATCATATGAAACATAACTTATGATCACATGGAACCAATCTTAGAAATGTATTTCAAGTCAAAGAATGTTAGAGAAATGCAAAAGTTTCAATGACACGAACTGAACATAATGCATCCATCCATTATAACGAAATTGCAAAGTTCATCGGACTTTAACACCGCAATAAATCGAGAAACCCGGCCCGTCCTCGACGGGCCGGGGACAGCTCCCCACGACTCCGATCTCCAACAGCACATGTGCGCTATTGCTTACGCGATCAGGTCACGACGATTACGGATGAACGACGTTCATCCACATATTCGTAGATTGGGTGCGTGCGCTGTCCTTCGCAAGGCACATCCCTAATGGCTTTTGGATTCGGGTCTCTTTTTAGGGACTACTTTTCTGCTGAATAATTATGGTCTACGGTCACACTAAACTCGCTCCTTCGCTTGAGTGTTGTCTCACAATCTGTGAGCCATGCCTGAAAGTTAGAAGCTTACGTGTTGTCATTCCTGTCAGATTCTTCTTAATTCGCAGAACCCAACAACAAGTTATAGTTTTTTGCATTATAATTTGCTGGAAGAGCAGGTAGTAATTGACGAACAATGCAAAACATGTAGAAAAACCGACAATTGAGTGTGTATATGCAGATAAATGATATTTGGGGTTGGTGACCACTTGAAAGGACCACGACCTAGTTAATAAGTGATTCTGCAACTGTATTATTTTTCTCAACGCGGTTCCCACTTGGTGAGAAGGATTGGAGGTTTGTTACGCAGTCAACTTAAAGCTACCCCACAGGTGAAGTTCGTGGGTGGACCGTACCTCAATTTTACATTCGCTCACCAAAAATTTCATCTACTTGTTCATCCACGAGTGCGACTCCCCATGATTCACTGTTTTGACTCTTTCCATCTCCCCCGCGTATTGTTCATCCTCATCCACTCTTCTGTCTTGAGGTCCCACGATCCTTAACACATATGAATATTCTAAATGATTCTTTAATACTTTGATATAATAATAATTACGTGACAAGGATTGTCGCTTATTCACTTAATTGATCATACTACCATAAAAACTTTAATAATAAAGGAAATAAGAAGTAAACTCTATATTTTCTCAACACACTAAATCGACACAATATGGAACGATCATAAACTGCAAGTAAGTTGGAATATTCCGGGACACAATTGGGAAATCCCCTTCATTCACAATGGACCTCTGAAAGGCAAATGCAACGAATCCAACGGCACCATACCTTTTTAGAGTCGACCCGAAGTCGCATATTTATTTTTTCGCGTCACAGCGTGATTCGGTGTGTCCACTTGTTCAGCAGCGAATGGGGCCGAGTTACCTTTTTATTTTTTGTATTGAAGTTTACGTCGACTTTATTGTCGACTTTGGGAACCCCTCCCAACGTTTTGTCGATTTTTACTTACGTCCACTTTCGTCCCCTTCGTCTTCCTCTACGAGGCAGAGTTGACGATCCCATGCAAGGGTGGAGACTGGGAGGGGGGAGAGGGGAGGGGGAGAGGGGCCATGGATGGATCCGACAAGAGGCGGCAGCAGTAGCAGAAATCGCGGCGTCCTCGTCGGGACGCGACTATTCCGCCTAACCCACAACGCACAAATGGTTTCTGTGAAATATGGGGAATTCGCGTCTCCGCAGCCAAGCACTCGGTGCGATTCAAATTGTATTCCCCGATTTTTGAAAACAGTTCCTCCGCCCATCGTATCCCCCTAAATCGGAATACGTCCTCAATCTGAGTGTGCACGCACTTCAGTGTAGTGCAGTATGCACGCACGACTAGTAACCCAAGCCTTGGCCCAGTTGGCCGATCTCATTCCCAGGTGGTAGATTGCTCGTTTGTTTGTTTGTTTGTTTGTTTGTTTGTGTGTATGTGTTTTAGTGTGTGGGTCAGATAGGTAGACTTCGTTTTGTGTTTTGATCATGACCCAGCTTCGGTCGTGGCCACTGGATTTGGCTTTGAGGGGAGAAGGAGAGAGTGTTTATGTAATACTGCTGTGAGGTGGGGAAGAAACGAGTGAAGCAATGGCGGGAGGAACTGGAGAGCAGAAGTCGTTGGAGCAGACGCCGACATGGACCGTGGCAGTGGTGTGCACGGTGTTCGTGATTGCGTCCCTTTTGGTGGAGCGATTAATTCACCGTCTTGGCCAGGTACTGCGTTGTTCAATTGCGCGTCGGTGCGTCGGTGCCGGACCGGTTCGCCATGTTCACAAATTGTGTCGATTGTCCCAGCCACTTGTTCCTCCCGTCGCCGCCGTCTTCTAGAGTTGCCTTCTTTCTGCGCTTCGCCACGTATGTAAGGGTTGGTCAATCGGATTTTTGAGTCCAGGGTTATCGTTGATTGGATCGGAATTGGGAAAGGAGTTCAGAAAGTTGATGAGCACCGGTGCTGAGAACTCTTATTGAGCTAGATGAGTTCTTCGAAGCTCGATTCATGAGTCAGATGAGAATTCTGATGTTGGTCTTGTGAGAGTGCGTGACACCATCCATCTAGTGGTAGGATCTGATCGAACCTGCTCATCCAGTTCGGTGGTGTCGACATGATTCGTTTGAACTGCTGAGTGAGAATCTAGCATTGGCCTGGTATTTGAGTGCGGAATTGCCTGAAAGAGCTGGATCTATGCAGTTTTTTTATTTTTATTTTTATTTTTATTTTTTACTGTTTCCGGTGCATTCTTGCGTTCTTTTTGCAGAATTTCAAAAAGGCGAAGAAGAAAGAACTGTTCCATACGCTTGAGCAGATCAAGAATGGTAAGCTGAACATTCAACACAACTGTAGTCTTGTGTTTAAAGTATATGCAAGAGAGCACTATGCGAGTACTACCTGGGACAATTTCCTCATGAGATGAATTTGAGGGCACATGAACGTGGTGCACTGGTTTTGCAGAGTTGATGATCCTGGGATTCATTTCCCTATTCCTTACGGTGTTTCAAAACAAAATAGCCTCCATTTGCATTTCGGAGTCGTTGAATTCCAAACTGCTACCTTGCCCATATAGACCTCCTGTGGCCGAGGCTCCAGTTGCACGGCGTCGGCGATTACTTGCAACCGAGGCTGTTTCTCAAACTGGGTGCAAAGCGGTAAGCCTTAAGTTTGCTGGTGCAACTGTTTTTTTACGGAGTGGTTCTTGGAACCACAAAAGAGCCAGATTTTTATGTGTTGAACAATTCGTGTTGTAGTTTGACTCACTATGAGATTTTTTTTCTTAATGCGACTTGAGATGCTACGTCTTTGCTGAGCTTGGGGATTTACTCGTTGCAGGGCTTTGTGCCAGTGATTTCTGTGGAAGGTCTCCACCAGCTTCATATATTTATCTTCGTCTTGGCTATCATTCACGTTATTTACAGCTGCATTACCGTTCTTGTAGGCGTGTTGCAAGTAAGTAGCACGTGAACACTTCTTTTTTTACTGTTTTCATTCGTCATTTGAGTTCTACCAGTTTCGAATATGAGCGTTTTTTCTAACGCTTTGGTATGAAATCAGGTGCACAGCTGGAAGAAGTGGGAGTTGGATTCCCACAAAGACGCACTCTCAGCTGCAGACGACGGTATGTCACTTATTTCTGCCGTGGACACCAGAGAGTAGCTCCTTCAATAAAATAAAATAAAAACTAAAATAAATTTAATGAAAAGGAGTCTCATGAGATGAGGATTGGTTGTGGGCAGCCTTGGATACGAAGCACACCCATCACCAATTTGCTCAAGACCGGGTCAGATACAAATTTCTCCACACGACAGTAACTGGCCTGAATCTCGACAGTTACATCGTAAGTTTGGCTACACAAGCTGCTCTACAAAGAACACTCGTCAACGTTATTTGGCTCGCAGGATATGAGTATTATCTTTCCAAGTTTTAAACTAATGGGTTGAGAACTCTGAATGTGCGTGCAGTACAGCTTCTTCAGGCAATTCGGAAAGCCTATCTATAGATCCGACTACTTAAGTCTTCGTTTGGGCTTCATTGCTGTAAGTCATGTGTTCATCTTTCCAGTCATTGTTTAAAATAGTCTACTTGACATTCCAGATGAATCTTATGAACGTATACGAATTTAGAAAAATTGTCATGAGAGTCGTTTCCTGCAGATTTCAAGTCTTTGGTTCTCTATCTCTAATTATCAGACCTCATGCTTGACATCAGAAACACAGACTTCCTGTAGATTACGATTTCCACAGTTACATTGGACGCGCTATGGAGGACGACTTCAAACATGTGGTTGGCATTAGGTGTGAAAGCATCTCTGTACTTTAAATATTGTCTATGTGGCTTCTCAATAACTGCCGGACACATGGTCATACTTGTCCTTCTCACTTGCATATATGTATAGATGTAATCTTGTCTTTAGTTGGTTTTTTTTGTGTCGTACTTAATTCTATCCGTGTCTCTTCATACACTATTCCAGTTTTTTAACCAGGCAGCTAAATAAGGCTTGTGTTTCTGACAGTATTTTCTTATGGGGGTTTGTCTGCCTTTTCCTCCTCTTGGATCTAGACGGTTTGTTCCACCTATCATCTCTGAAATCTTATTTGATTTATGCCAGTCCCCTGCGAGAGTTTTTCGATCTTTGCAATGTATATGTGCACACCTTCTAGTATGTATGTGCTTGCTTTGACACCTGATTCCTACATTGTGCCATTGGTATTTCTTTTGAGCAGGCTGGTATACTTATTTCTGGATAGCGTTCATACCTACAATTGTGAGTTTCTGCAACCTTGCCTCTGATGGGGAAATACCAGTGCGTAACTGTATGAAATGAGGATTCTTGCCTGTACTACTTCAATGTGATAACCGAAATGTGTTCTGTGGTTGCAGTTGGTACTGATCGTTGGAGCAAAGTTGCAGCATATCATTCTCACTTTAGCAATTGACGTGCGAGGAGGTGTGAATACGGTTGAACTGAATTCAGCAAATGACCTTGATGACAGTCACAAGGATGAAGAAACACTGGACAAGATCGTCAAACCGGTTATTCGGGATGACTTATTTTGGTTTGACAGGCCCACTCTTCTGCTGAAATTGATTCACGTCATTCTCTTTCAGGTATTTGATTCTGTACTGGATGCTATTCGTTGTGCAATGAAAATTTCTCAGTACTAAAGCTTCAAGGAAGAAGGTTAGATTGATTTTAGTTTTTGCTTACTCGTGTATGCAATCGGTACTTATTGCATGGGACTTTCTTACTACCTTGGTCATCTTCAATCTGGATAAACTCTATGAACTCTATACATTCTCTATGCCGGTATACATGGAATTGCTAAATAAATCAAAACAACTTCTAGTTCAGATGTGCACAAAAAATTTCAGGAGATTTGTGCTTCAATTTTTACGCTGTGCTATTCAATGACGTGTTTCTCACTTTTGCGCTGCAGAATGCCTTCGAGCTTGCCTTCTTCTTCTGGGCTATGGTGAGGAAATAGACATTCTTGGGCTGTATCTGCTAAACTGAGTGCGTAGGCAGAGAAGGAAACTCTAGCATGATAGTTCTGCTTTTGATGCCGTTGGATACTCAGGCACTAAGCTAATGGTTTAGTTTACTCACTTCATTCGCACAGATTTCTTTTTCTTCTTTATTTCCCTTGCCCTCTAACCATGTACAGAGTGCTCGATGTGATGCAGTTTACGTTTGGTTTTAATTCCTGTCTAGTAGGAAAAAGATGGATGATCCTCGTTCGCCTTGGGATGGGGTATGCTTCCAAAATAGATAAACTCTGGCTGTCTTTGCCTATTGTTTTGCCTCACTATCGTACAACTAAATAAGAAAAAAAATTGCTTGAATTTTTTTCTTATTGAATCATTTCTCTGTGATTTGAATCGTCGAATTTTGTAATACTAAAAGAAGCGCGTTGGTTGGCATGATTGCTCAGCGTTTTTGTGCAGGTTCTGTGCAGTGCGAGTACTTTACCCCTTTATGCCCTGGTCAGCCAGGTGAACAACCTACTCTCAATATCTTCATAAAATGAATGTGAGCATTAACAACAATGAAAACAGGGGCCCTAGAAGTGCCAGGAACACAGTTCGCAAGCCTTCATCTTATAGATTATGTGGGTCGTTATCCTCCTCCATTATGCAAACTGAGCTTTACTAAATGATAAGCTCTGATGAATCTTCTATCCATCTGAACATGCAGCTACGCACAATAGTGTTCGTTTTGTGTCTCCAGAGTTAATCTCTTCATTGTTATGGCAGATGGGATCCAACATCAAGTTACAGCATGCTTTCTCTGAAACCACACGATCTGGCATTTCAAAGTGGCGTGAAAAAGCTGTGAAGAGTTCAAAACCACATCCCAAGCCCAAGGAAAAATTACATTCCAAGCCTAAGGAGAAACCACGGCAATTGGCTGGCATTGTAGGCATCAATAAGGAAGTAGATGAGCAAGGTCGCGCTAGGAGCATTGAGCTTCCTCAGCGTGGTACTCAGCATGGTCACAAACAACATCCACACCCTCACGGTCATCACCAGCACCCACATCCTCCTCATCATGGTAATAACTCAAAATTATTTGTGGTTCTTGTTACGAATTTCTGCAACTGTAGATTTCAATACTTCTAATGCTTTTTCGTTCACAGGCAGGTTACATGTTGACAGTAAAGTCCACCTTGATCTTGCAAATTTTAAAGCAAAAACCTAAATAGTTACACCTAAAATAAATATCCCTTCTGGTGTTGGATTTCAGCTCTTCGTTGATTCTGGGTTCCTCTACCCTGCCTTCACGGATGTATACAGTTTTTCCATCGTTGGATCGCTTCATTCACTAATTGTTGACTGTTCTGATGTGTAATTTTTCAGAGGGTTCACATGTTGTAGAGATTAATGACGCACCAGACATGAACATTCGAAGCTCTGCATCTAATACAAATTCAGAGAACGCGTCTTCTGTACCCAACATTTTCCAAATTGCTGCTGCAAAAATGGCAGAGAAAAAGTCTGGAAGTACACAAAATGATAGTACACCCTAGATTGTGAAACCTGACGAAATCACGTACATTTTTCAATAGATTCAAAACGAAGGTCACAGGACCCTGTCATGAGAAAATACGAGTATTTCATTCTCTGGGTTCCACAGGTTTAAAATTATGAAAAAGGGCTTTTTTGAGGCCTGTGACTAACGCATTAGTCTTTATTGCACACCTAGTGAAATTCCGAGTTGCAAAAAATACTACTACAGCCAGAGTGAAAAGGCAATTTCTACAACACATCGAGTAAATCGTTGATTCTATTTGTCAATTTCCAGTCCTTCTCTTTAGTAATGTATTTCTCTCCGCTTTGATGAACTCACTCTTTTACATTTCTGGTACATCAAAGTTAATAAATAATAATTGTATATAAAAACTGTAATTATGATTTGTTACATCATCGTGACACCAGGGTTAGTTGCCTCACACTTATCGGAATATAGGTTCAAAATTCGTGGAAGCGTCACCTCCAGCAACAAATTAGCTGTGATATTCACCATCTTTGCCGATAAAACCGGTAAATCTTAGAAGCATGAAATGACCTGCCAATTCTTTCATGCATCTGTGGTATTTTCTTTCAACTTCCCTACGCTTCGTGAAGTGACACTGAACAATCATCGAGAACGATGTGAACCATTTTAAAGTAATGATTCGTAATAGTATTTACAAATATGATTTAAAAGAATGATACAATGGAATTGACTTGACAACGCAATGTAAACGATTCATTTACGATAATTTCAGTTGTGCCAAACGCCAACTCTTTAAAAAGCAAAACTATTTGACGAGAAGCTATTGCTAGCACCTCAAAACTACGAGCAAGAGTAATTAGATAGAATTATAAATCAAAACTAGCATACGAGTATCATCCAGACCAACATAATCTGTCTATTCTGCATTATGTGAAGCCATCTTTGCCTATACAGATACACAACCCAACTATTACCTACTTTCTTGCAATAAAATTAATTACCATCAGTGATATTCAATTCTTTGTTGCAAACATCCACCGACTTGATGGTCAGACAACCTTCATTTGGCTCTCCCCAAGGTATCCCATTTCTGACAAGAAAATCAGTAACCTGCACATATAATATAGAACAGGTGTAAATAAGGGGATTGTAGAAACTGATAAAATGCACAGCAAGAACAATCGAAATTAAAGCGCCCAAATGAGCAAGAGGTTAACGATCCGCGGACTTTTCAGCACATGAACTTCCATGCTCTGATACATTACTATCCGCCATCCCTTAAATTTTGGTTATTTTGTGCAAGTGAGAGGTAAAAATTATCAAAGACAAAGCACACACAACCCGGTTGGTTCGAAGCACCCTTACGATTGTAGAACAGATATGCAGGAGCTGAACAAATTAATGAGCTCAATCTCGAATTTCAAGCAGATTTACAAGAGTTGAAAGTTTTCAATCGCGTTAACAGGAATAATTCAAAACTACTTACCGCCGGTTTGATTTTAGCACAGCCATTACTACTGTGAGAGCCATATCCAGTGATCACAGTGAGCATATTCACCGCTGCACAAGCAATCACAGAAGTGAAAATCTACGAACACCAAGATAGAACCTTTTTTCCACTGCATACAATGGTTTTGAAAAACGAACCTGTCAAAGCATCTGTGAGTACAATATCACGATAGGCCACATGCTGTCAGACCAATAACACATGAGGGATGAAAGGAATCGTGTGACATACAAGGAAGGAAAATGAACGTTTGAAGGCGATGCTGCAAAAATCGAAGTGCTTCACCAACATGCAAAGCGTGCAGATCGATCTCAATGTTTACAATGTTTACAATATCTTTGTTCCTGACAAAATACGTAAACAAGTAATAACAATCAGATCCTCACAATGTTGATACCATCCAAGCCAATTTGTTGATCGCAAATTCCTTAAAACATGCTCAAAGATCAGATTCTCGAAATTACGTCAACATACTTGGACTGGAATATGAGCTGACTGGCAAGTTCATCAGCTTGTTGAGCAAGATATTTGTATTCCTTTCCCTGAAAAGGACGAGATTAGTTAGTCAAAACACTTGAAGATGAAATAGGACTATTGATGCATGAATATGTTTATAGCACTTAACAAACCCAATTAGCGTTGCAAATAACGAACAAGATGCTCCCATAATGAGTAATTCTACAACAAACAACTTGAATACGATACATGTCATTCCAGTTAATTAGAACCAAGTTTTGAAATACAACCTTCCCAGACAAAGTGGCAGCACGACAGTGCTCTCCACGATCATAAGCTGCAGCAGCCTAATAAACATAATAGCATAAATAAATAACATAACCAACCGTTCCTAGTACAGCATTACAAAATAGAGCACTACATTCGTTCATAAAGACAGTAAAGATAGCACAATTCAACTTGGGCCAATACCTGTTACAGGAAATGCATGGTGAGTTCGTATTTAAGCTAATAGAATATGCACCTCTTTAAAATAATAATTCATCGTGCGCCAAAGGGCATTAGCAAGGAGACGGTGGCGCCCATATTCATCATTTTCAACTCTTCCTAACAGTTGAAATCCATCTTCCGTGTCAGTATTTATGGCATAATATCTGATCGTTCTCAGGAAATAACATAAAAATGCAGATAAATTCCTTCTATGTGGCTATAATTATAATCAGCACATTGAATTTCTTTCCTGAAAAAAAAAAAAAGAAACAAAAAAACTACACAAAAATAACCGAAAATGTTCATAAATCAGAAGATCAAAAGCAACACATCAAGTTTATGCACAACAGCTAAAGAATTAGAATTACCAAACCCTACAAAACACTGACGGCCCCACTGTGTATTTACCGTGTGAATGGAAGTGAGAAGTGTTCCTTTTTTCAGAGACAGGTTTTCCACATGATCCATCTCTTAAGGACGCTTCCGCCAGACTCTGTTTGAACGGCACCACTGGGTTTTTAAAGTCCGCCCACGCTGCCCTCAATGGCCGTGAGGAATTAGGTCTGTCACAACTGTTCTTGAATACATTTATTTTAAGTATATCCTGGTGGTTTCCGTGTACTTTTGACCCAGGAGAGAATCTTACGCCGTGATTATTAGTTGTTGCATCCGAGCAAAATCTTTTTGCATCCCTGCAGCCCCAACAGCTGACAAGTCAGCCAAAGAAACTTCACGACTGTAAAGTACTGATTAGATAATCATGCGCCTATGAGAGAGTGATCAGAAGAGAGTAATCAGGTGAGCACTAGTCACCTATTTATCGTTCTATGTTAATTGTTGTTACATATATGTGAAAGAAATGACAGCCTACGAAAACACTGGAAAATTGCAGTCCGCCCGCCAACTTCCTTGAAAAATCAGATTACGAATGCCAGCAATGAATTTACAGAAATCACCTTGATGTGTGTGAACCTTTGTTTTCGAATCTGCGGTCAGAACGAAAATCTCTCAGCTCATTCAAAGAGCGCAGTTTTTCCACTGGATTAGCCCCGGCCCTGACTATCACGTTGGATCCGTTCCGAACATCCTCACGACGTTTCTGCCAGAATACGAACATAGATTAACAGACTGACTGAATGCAACCACTTGATTTTACCTTGTGCCCTGCACAAGGTAACCATGGTTCATGTGATCATTACCTGCAATTCCATTTCTACGGGAGATTTGTCCATGGATAATTTCTTCATCTGATGAAACGAATTTACCTTGTCATTCGATGTTTTTCACAAGAATACCGTACCACTTTGTTAGTTGAGGCAACGTTCTGTGATTGTTAGGAAGAAGACGACGCAGATTGCAGTAATACTTCCAGACTCTGCAATCTTGAAACTTCATGTGTGCTCAAGTGACAAAGGCACCACGCAAGAGTGACAATCAAACACTCTTACCACAACCGTCCTATCACCTCATTTAAGAACATACAATATAATAACAACCATATCACTCAAAAAACTTCTCTACAAACTTAATCCATCGACAATAAAAGTTCAGAATAAATCGAGCGGACAACCATTTCTACAATTGAGATTGCTCTGAGGCTATTGAAAATTTCTACGCGAGCTAGAAATGAAGGTCTACACAAAGTAGTTGTCCATGTTTGTTTAGATGGGATAGCCCGCATTTATTCTGGGGGGAGGTGATTGCCACTTTTGAAAAGAAAACAGGACTTTGAAAGATGAATCGCTGGAAAGATGAGGATCACAAACCTTCCGAAATGATTCATTCCCCTATTAAAGATGATTGCTGAGAACCGCAAACAATAAACTTACCTTTTGGGTGTCGTCCTCAAAATCATCTGAGACAAACGGAACGCAATGAATGTCACGTAATTTTCAATCAACTGCAGCTGTCATTTAGAATCACTCTCTTGAGAAGCCAGAAGCATGCTACGAAATTTAGCAGATCATAGGTTACTGAACAGTAGAGTAGAACAATTTAATCCTCCAATCCCATCTCTCCTCATTCCTCTACTACGTACATCAGTGCCATAAGAGAACGTACCCAAGTCGCCACTAACGTCCATGCTGGCCTCGAAGTTGTCACCAGACCTAGAGAACAAACACTCCTCAGCAGCTTGACGAGATGCAATATTATCTGGTTTTCTATCACTTAAGTGCAGATGTCGCGTAGACGCTCCCGCATGCGCTGCATGCGAATTATGTAAAAGGCTATTATGTTGAATTGGTGGATACCGATTAATAATCCCTACGATGGCACTACCATATTTTTCCAGCAACAGGTCTTCACATCCGAAAATCACCGGAGGTGCACTCAGCAGCTCCTGAATATTGCTGTTCTTTAAAAAATTTAAAATATTCCCTGGAATGTGCACATTTGGTTTGTGCGCAGGAGTGCATTCCACGCTCCAACCACCGTGGCCCATTCTCGGTGCACCTCGCCATACATGTCGTTCAAACCCCTGATCATACATGTCCGCTCCTTTTCACAAATTCCCCGAACCTTCACGCAAAATTCTTGATTCCAAAGACCACACACGCTAATCTCCTCGAAAGTGAGCACTTAAAAACCTAGTCCACGCACAATCAAACCCCAGCGCCCAAAACCAGGGTAATATGTCAATATCCCCTGAAAACGCTTTTTCACCACGTCAATCCACACCGCAGAAGCTCGTAACGCGCACCAAACCGATTTAGAAGACGCAAACCACCACGAAAAGCACGCTTAAAACGTCAGAAATCGCTGCCATTGCCACACGACGATCCACTTTGCTACAGCGCTTCAACGACGAGAAGTTGGACTTGAAAGCTCGTTCTCCTGCAATAGAAAACCAAAAACGCAGCGGAAAAGCTCCACCACACTGCCGGAAACCAATTCACACGACTACACGCTTCACATAAAACGCTAAGTAATGTATGTCGCGTTGCGTAGAATCGATTGAGGCAGCATGAATTGCACGACACGTAGTGCGAGGCAAAGCAAGCAAGGCAAGGAAAGCACTTCAGGAGGAGGGGAAAAGGAGGCTCGGTAGCTGAGCTCAAAAATCTAAGAATTCTATAATATCTACTTCGTCTGTACAATCCATTCCAGTCCACGAACTCCACACGTCTGAGGGGAGTTGAGTAGTCGAACGAAAACCTTCGTTTCATTCATTAAATCGCATTTATTCTGTCCATATTGACATTATAAAACCAATTCCTGATGTTTCGATTGTTTTACGTGGAAGTTTCATGGAAGTTTCGTTGCCGAAGTATGTGTCACCAGGGAAATGAAGTGCGTCTGAGTAGTGACAAATTTAATGATGAGAATCCTTATTTATGCATAAAAAATACACTCTCTTCTTCATAAATTTACACACCAGTAAATGCTCGTCCTCGGGGCACACATTTATGGTGAGAAAACTGTGGGTGCATGATGAAGACGTGGATGGGAAATGACATAAAATTTATATCCTACACATTATAATACATTTTACTATAATATACAAAGTCATTATAATATATGTCCTACCCATTGTAATATATTTTACTAACAGCTTAACTTTTTTTCTTTCGTTCTATAGTGATGAGTCTGAGGTAAGGACTGGGTGTACAGAATTGATGGTGATCAGCACCCTGTGAGAATCAAGTGTGTGACGACTGCAATGGGACCGGAGCTGCAGAACGGAATGCTTCTGAAATTTTGCTACTTGTGCTTGACGGTGGTTGCCTCTGAAACCTTCTGACCATAGAAACTCGAGCTTTTGTATCAGTCAAGACGTAGTCAGGGTTCTTCTTCTTGAGCAGTTGCCAGGTTGACTGGGTCCACTCCGGTGTGTCGAACTCCTCGCTCCCCACGTCCCTGTGGTGGATTTCTGTCTGGGAAACTGCCTAGTTTGAAGAGTGCTTGGTGTTTGTGTGTGTGCGTCTCTCTCTTTGTTGAGGTAAGTAAATGTATGGCGAACTTGAGGGATTGTGTCTCAGGTCGTGTTGTGATGAGCTAGCTCTTGTTGCGGTGATCAGATCAAGTTGTGTATGTGTGTGTGTCAAACTTGGGCTTTTCCGCCAATTACGCTGATGGTCAAAGTGTGGCACTTTCGATTATGACTCCGTCTTCAAATTCACCAGTTCCTCATTTCAAAACAATTTTATCTCCTTGAAAACGTAGAGTTCATTTGATTTCTGTACACAATGATGTGCGTGATGTACTTCGTCTCAGAGGAAAATAAAGTAAAGATTGAATTTTCACTGAATATCAATGAATATGGACTGAACAATATTAATCTAATCAAATATACATGATATGTGTTAAATTATCATGAAAAATATTGAGAAGTTTTAACACGCAAAGCTTATCAAAATTACAATAACAACTTCGAACTTGATTTTCATGAGATTTTATCCTACAAAACTAAAAAAAGTCAAACTTTCATTGAAAACTTTTTAATTTATCATGAAAAAATTGAGATAGTTTTGCTTTGTTTAAAAAACGTATAATTGATTATGTCATACATCTCATTACTGTAGTAGGATAACATGACAAGACTTCTCTCCAACATTGAAAGTGTGAAGAGCAAAGTCGACCTTCAGGAACCCAACCCTAGCGGTGTCGGTAGGACCCTGACCACTCACTGTGAGTGTCGGTGAAGCCTGGTCGATGACCTTCAACGTCGGTGAAAAGCTATGTCATCCCGAGTAATGTCAGCATGACCCTTGCCCATTTAGTGTTAGGTCGGCAAGGTCCTGGCCAATCATTCTGGGGCCCCTTGATTTCAGCTTCATTGGTCTCCAAGCACGACCAGCCTCATCTTGTCAGCCCACCTCTGTTAAAATTTCGTGACTATTGAACTTGGAAACTGAGCCCACCACCCTTCGCTTCTGGAACCACGAGACTTTATCAAGAGAGCTTTAAAGAGCTAGCTCCACATGGGGTTAGCAGTAGAAGATAGATTCTGGACCAAGAATTGAGTGATCAATAATCTAAAGATACGCAGTAGCGTTTCGCTCCTCCTTTAGGAAATTCTCCAACGTGGGCAAGTTTGATAGATCAGAGCAGCAACACTGTGTCAAAACCCAGACTGAGTCGCCTCGTTGGGCACATTTTCTTGAAGATAGTTTTATTATTATTATTATTATTATTATTTATTTATATATATTTATTTCCAGAAAGACCGCATTTCAATATTACAGGAAGACCGAAAGTGTTCTGTCAGAAGTAAATAGAAGACGATTCTGAAAAGAAAGCAATTATCTACTTAAGTTTACCATCAGTAGAGAAGTAGACAGTTGGAATTTGTTCAAGAAAGTTGAAAATTCTTCCAATCTTCTGTTACATTGATGTACAGCCCACACTCTTCATGAATCTCTGGGGCCTTAGTGCACAAGGATTGCACTTGGATAACCCTGATCTAGTCATCCAAGCACATCGGTAAACAAGTTTGACTGCGTTACTCCTAAAGTTCGTGGCTGGAAACGTGGGATTTGATAAATGCAACTGCCTTGAATCGGTAGATTACGTCATGTAAATCAAAATATGTTAATGATTTACCAGACTTGAACCGGGAGTATGAGTTTTCAGTAAGGCAACCATTCAAGACATCCACTGCAATTTCGTGCTGGTGAAGTTTATCACCGCGTGTTGGAGCTTTTTCTTCATAGATGATAAGTAAGTATATTGAACTGCGGTCAGCGGATCTGGCCTATCCACTTCGTCGTGGGTAAGACATCGCTTCAGAATCCCTGAGCAGTAAATGACAACCAGTTTGACTATCATCAGCAGATTTCATCAATCATGGAAACTGTGTTACGTTAACCAAAGCGAAAATTGACGAACCTCACGGATCTGAATAACGATCAGCTGAGTAGAACATTGAAATTCCAAAAATAAGAACACACAAACAAACAAGTGTGCTATACGCACAACCGAGAGAAAGGTCATGAAGCCACCACGTCGAGTGACACAGTACACAACTATATACCATCTGTGAAGGAGAAGAAATGAACAAAGTAACTTTGGTAGCACGACTTGGGTAACACAAAAAACCACAACTGACATGGAAATCCAACCTCTCGAATTGAAATGAGAAACATTATTGTGCAGGTCTTATTCTGTAACGATCTTTGCCTCCAGGGAAACAAATGTCCGCGCTGGAAACTCCACTTTGGCGGCATTGACTCTGGTGTCTTTTCGCATCAACTGCTCTTGACATTGGTTGTGGCCGGAGGGGCGATTTCCAAAGATCATCTACTACAACATGACAACAACTGACCTCACATCGACCTGAAACAAGCGCACTGGACTTGTCAACTTCCCCCACACTCGAATATGCAAATTGCTGCAGCAATGAGCATCAAAGTATCAATAGCGTCATCTTCTTAGGATACCTAAGAAGATATTAACGGAATCTTGTTCAGGTCAAACATTTAGGAGGTGAGTACCTGCGCACCACTATTACGATTGATTACACCTAGAAACTGGACCATTGTCATTGGTTCACTGAGAAGATACATAGAATACATGGACAAACTACAGTGACACACTCCTGCGATTAATAAGCCCATCAGTGGTGGCTAATAAGTATTAAGCTTAATGATTTTATGCAAAGTCGCAGTAATTGTACCGAATTCAAAGTTAACATTGCCTTTATGATTGTTTTGCACATTTTACCAGTAAAATTCTGCGACTTGAGACATCAATTCCATGCGTTGAGGCTCGGGCTCTTCCTTTATGATTTTGCCAAGGCCAAAATCAGTTATCTTCACCACGCCACCTGAAATGAAGAGGATATTTTCGAGCTTTAAGACATAGTGTATGATCCGCGGCAGCTACTTATTCAACTTCACAATCCCAGACGATATTTGCACTAGAATCATGCTAGCCTCCCTTTCTGATTGAACAAGAGTCTCGTTTAAAATGATTTCCAGATCTTTGCCTAAGACAGAGGCACAAGTTATGCCGAGCTTCAATCTTCTGCAACATGAGCAAATTACATATGTGCGCAGACTATGTCAAAAATATGTTCATTATATCAAGCTCAATGCGTCCAAATATGTCAGAAAGGTAATTGAGACATTTACACACAATGTCAAAGAGACAAGAGTTAAAAGTTCGAAACCTAGAGTATCGAGATGACTTCTCTATAAGCAAAACCATCCCTAAACTTTAGAGGAAGATATTCAATCTCGAAAATATTCCACAACGCCACTTTATGTCCGAACAAAACTCCTGCAGATGTTAAACTCCTGTGTGGATGTCGACACTTGCTTCAGACATTTGCTACAGACATTTGCGTCTTCTCATTGCTCCACTGCTCATTTAGCCTACGTATCTTGCAAGCAACATGTCTGTAGTCCACCAGATCGAAGCCAGTCCCATCCTTACCCTTACATTGGCATTTCCGAGTCTATTGGAGTCTTGCTAAAGTTTAGTGAGGGCCTCTTGCATTTCAACCGTGGCCAATTGAACAAGTAGATACGAAACCACCTAAATTCTCTAATGCCACAACAAAGTGGTCAATATCAGAAAGTAATTGAAAATAATTTTTCGTTCTGAGTATGATGAACTGCTGGAAGCACAAGCAAAGACTACCTTGTCGAAAGGGCTGAGCATTAAAATTAATCCCCATTTGCATCAAACACTGCTCCAGATATTGATCATCATCCTGGACATGAATGTGGCATCAGGATTCCCTGCATGTCAAATTATTTTAAAATGGTTGTATGTAACCCTTAATAATTTTTTACAAAACTTAGAATATACTAATAATTATACATTTTCATAAATAAATACATAATTTAGATAGAAATCCAATGCAATTCCAGCTAGTAATGACTTTGTATTCGTTTGGTTGATAAAAATTGCAAATACCTTGATACATACTATTTTAATGTTTGAAATTAAAACAAAGAATATTAAAATATACAAAAACTGGATTGTGATTACTACTAATACATATATATATATATATATATATATATATATATATATATTATAAATTAAAAGATTTACTCAAATTGCTTTGCAAGCAATAAACATCCTCTTAAAGCAATGTATTTTCATTATCTTT